GCTACTCGGATCCTGTATGCGCGTTTCGGAGACGCAGCACACATCGATGGCGCGGGATTCTAAAGTCCTAGCTAAGGAAGCCTGCTGTCCTATTTGGCACAGTGTTCGGACGTTAAAAGCTCCTACGTGTAGTTTAGAGCGTGGTTTGAGGAGACCAGGAATAGAGTTCCACGTACTCGAATCGTTTGCCCTAGCGGTGCGAGGTGATAAAGAGACGTGAGGAGGGTTAGTCATGGAGATAAGAGAGGTATTAGAAGGTGTAGGAAGGATTTGAATGTGACCAACTTGGTCTCGCGTGCTGTTACGGGTATGAGGGCTGATGTCACTTCCCGGCTGCCCACACCGTGGAAGGGTATTTCTTGAGGAACCTGAAAAGGAAATTGGATTAGTGTTGGTCTTAACGACCTGGGAGCGTGACCGCAGAGCCCAAGGGACAACTGCTTGAGGCCGGTCGCGCACGGCCTTTTTGTAGAAGGTTTTTGACGTGTTAGCTCCGTTCTTCAGATGGCCTTACCGCCGGAGACGGAAATCCGTGAGGTAAGGTGAGGTGTGACATTTTTAGGGTCGACCTTTTCTAACCCCGCCCCTCCTTGTGGGAAGGCAGCATCGCCGTCATGCTGATTGTCCGAAGGAAACACCTTACTGCTGTCACACCTCTGTACAGTCAGCAGTACGACTTCGCCCTCAGACTTTGAGTTGCTGCTTTTAGTCTTACCGTTCACCAATCGACCTGCCTGGCATGGTAGAACCTACAGGAACATATGTTCCAGCCAATATAGCTCGGATGGGTCATCACGATAGGCAAGCCCGACCACCACGTCAAGGTAGCAGCTTCGGTCGGGCGTCAAGGTAGCAGCTTCGGTCGGCATAGCTGTAACAGACGGTCGCCATTATCTGTTCTTTGAGCCACGATGCTATAAGATCCACCCATGTGTCTTTCCCTATCGCTTAGTTTACCTACTTGAGCATTAAAGTCACCGGCCACTATTACTACATCCGAGCGCCTAGCTTTTCGAAGTAGGTCGGAAAGCTTTCTGTAAAACTCATCTTTTACATCATCTGCGCTGCAGTCAGTGGGAGAATAGGCAGAGGCAACGACGAGTGTCCCTATCTTTCCGACTCCTTAGTGTTCCGTTTGATTGGACAGCGCAAAAATGACTGTCTACTGGGATCCACTCTAAGAGAGCTAGTTCTTCCTTAGGACTCAATGCTATGCCTACGCCGGCGAGGCCACGGGACGCAGAATCAGGGCTTCCAGATACACGAAGTGTGAATCGAGTCGGTTCTTTATTTTGGCATGGTGAGGTCAAATGAATGACGCTACTCGGATCCTGTATGCGCGTTTCGGAGACGCAGCACACATCGATGGCGCGGGATTCTAAAGTCCTAGCTAAGGAAGCCTGCTGTCCTATTTGGCACAGTGTTCGGACGTTAAAAGTTCCTACGTGTTATTTAGAGCGTGGTTTCAGGAGACCAGGAATAGCGCTCCGCGTACTCGAATCTTTTGCCATAGCGGTGCGAGGTGATAAAGAGATGTGAGGAGGGTTAGTCATGGAAATAAGAGAGGTACTAGGAGGTGTAGGAAGAATTTGAATGTGACTAACTTGATCTCGCGTGCTGTCATGGGTATGAGGGCTGATATCATTTCCCGGCTGCCGACACTGTGACAGAGTATTTCTTGAGGAGCTTGGAAAGGAAATTGGATTAGTGTTGGTCTTAACGACTTGGGAGCGTGACCGCAGAGCCCAAGGGACAACTGCTTGAGGCCGGTCGCGCACGGCCTTTTCGTGACAGGTTTTTAATGTGTTAGCTCAGTTCTTCAAAGAGCCTTATAGCCGGAGACGGAAATCCATGAGGTAAGGTGTGACATTTCTTGGGTTGACCTTTTCTAACCCCACCCCTCCTTGTGGGAAGGCAGCATCTGTGTAGATGCTGGTTGTCCGAGGGAAACACCCTACTGCCGTCACACACCCTTACAGTCAGCAGTACGACTTCGCCCCTAGACCTTGAGTTGCTGCTTTTAGTTCTCCAATCGACCTGCCTGGCATGGTAGAACCTACAGGAACATATGTTCCAGCCAATATAGCTCGGTTGGGTGATCACGATAGGCAAGCCCAACCACCGCGTCAAGGTAGCAGCTTCGGTCGGGGTTTAAACATCGGGATTTTCGTATATTTAAAGCATTTTTTTCGTTTCCCAATCACTAGAAACCAGTGTTACCATGTAAACTATCATTCACCTACTTAACTATATTTGTGTATGAACCGTATAACTGTTATCTATAAAAACAAATTTCTTATTTTCAGAGTCATTCAGGCTGTTTCAAACTCGAATCGAACTAAAGGTTTAGGTGTCTCACATAATAAGACTTCAACTGAGACAAATCCTCTCAAACCAAAGTAAGTTTTATCCAAAACTGTTATTCGGTTGAGAATACAGTCAACAGTTGTATAGATTAATAGTAATAACTTTGTAACAAGTGTATAGTTATTTCAAACAGCATCATAAAGTGCTGTCGTTTCTTTTGGTGAATGTCGTATCATAACCTATACCAGTAGCACTGCATATAACTCCAAATTGATTTCAACTTAATGGATGAGCAAAACTATGTTTACTATAAAACACTGTGTATCCACTTCTGTTTAATTTAGTTAAAATATCGGCAATATTTCATATACACGTCCTGCACTACTTGAATTTTCATACGCCTAAATAGCCTCTGCATTTTTGTGTTGCAACCAGTGGATTATGATATACATATATGAGCATAATAATTAATGGAGAGAAATATGATTCCACTCAAGGGAAATTATCAGAGCTATTTTGTCGTGAAACGTTGAAAGCCGTCAGTCAGCAGTTGTAGTAAAAAAGGTATCATCTGCCTTTTATGCTGCACAGAAAATACAAAGCAGGTAATTAACATCAAGGTTAAGCTACTCCCATAGGGTGACAGTGATTTCCTCCCACTAGTTATTTCTTCTTTAGAACTAAGAGTGAGCAATAAAGTCCGTTCAGGCTTCCAGCAGTTAGTTTTTCCTAATAAACTCAGTACGTCCTCGTGTACTTTAATTAGGCTAGTGACTAAGTCTCTCACTAAAATGTGACAGCTGCAAAATTAGTAGTACTTGCTCTAATTTTACTGGTATATTAGCCATAACAGTAACTGTTGTAAGCCGTATCTCTTCTGGTAACATTTTCACACCACAAAAAGTATTCAAACAAAACAAATTATATTTCCCTTATGTTGAACCAAATTAATCTGCTTATTATGTGCATCAATTTACATATTATTTTAATATAGAGCACCGTCTTTGGGACTCGGTCTAACTAACGCTCTGCAGAACTTGAAATCCACGATAAATAGCCTACCCAAGTTGTCTACCTTAGTAAGTTCCGGATTTCTTTGAGATAATTTGTTACGTTACATTAGTATTACTTATGTATGTTACTGGAAATTATATATTCTCACAAAGCACTAAGTAGGGTTTTAGAGTTACGAATTTTTAGCGCTTTTTTGAAATAGTTCCACACAGTTACAAGACTTTTTTGTCGTGTAGTGGCTCTGCTTTACTTAGTTTAGGCAGCTCGTTAATATAACTAGTCCTCACGTGTAGAATGACTCAAAGCCAATTTCTCTAATCTGTACCTGATAAGTCGGTTAATAAACCATGCCTCACTCTCAATAAGGCTTAGGGGCTACTAAATGAATATAAATGTGGTTAGATCGTACTATAATTTAATAAAACTATCATCATCATGAAGTCCATGAAAAAGACTAGGCACGTGGTTATCTTTTACTGTTTCTTATTTTAAAATACATGAGCTATAACCAACGAATGTAGAGATGTTTATTTTACTGAAATTATAGGAAAAGTCGCGTCTTGACTGGAAGCAATATGTACAGAAAGAATCTTTGGAAGATGACCTTAAAGCCCACAACAAAGGGAAAGAAGGGTAAGATTACAATAATATATACTCATATATACAATTTACAAATAGTCAGTAAAGCGATAATTTTGTTGTGTATCAAGAGTTTTTTCTTAATATATACCAACTGTATCGAAGAAAATAGTAGTCTCAGTACCCTTGACGACCAAATGAAGAAATACAACCCATGCCTACTACACTAGTACTGATTGCTTGGTTTTGGGTTATACATATTTGCACCACTTGGTCGAGTAAGTCTGGATGATAGTCAGTTGCCTCCTAAAGAAAAGCAGTTTTCAAAATGAACATGTCTCAAACCAATCTCATAGACGCGAGACATTGACAAGTGTAATGGGACATAGGTAGAAACTCGTCAGAGACCAAGTACTTTGTAAGTAATGTGCTACTCTCGGATAAGAGTGCAAGTTTATCAACGCATAAATGCTATTCCATTACAGTAGTGAGAGAATTGCTTTGCACTTGCAGATACTAGTCACCAACTAAACTGACTCAACAACATTAATTCACGTTTAAGTCCAAAGGTTGACACATCGACGCTATCTGCTTAGTTTTGAAGTTTCCACTCCAGAAACAAAAGCATTCATCGTCAACAATTAGTATATAATGTCGCCGCTAATCATAATTAACTTAATACACTCCAATCATAAATAACAATTTTCATTTCATAGTGTTTCCATAATTTCATCGTTTTACTCGGGTGCACCACTAGTTAAAATATCTGGTTGTTAATGAGGTCTGTAACTGTAGATTCTTTTTTTGTAAGCTGTTAACTTACTGGGTTTTTGATTTTAAAATAGGTATCTGGAAAGGCAAGCATTCTTCAATAGAGCAAGTGAACGTGAATATCAGTATGAACGACAATTGAAAAAGTCAGCATCGAGTCGGAAAACCTGAATACAACTATGCACACAATTCTCTTATCCATGGAATGTTGCAGTTATTTATCAAGAATAGCAGTCCCAAATTTTAGTGTATTTATGTGAAGCAAATAATTGTGGTTAATAATACTGGCAATAAAAAATCCCAATGATAATAAGTCATTCTTTTTGTTTACTAAGACTTTATTACTTTTTATTCGAACATATGGATCTACCCAAGCTTTTCAAAAGTATAGTGATTTTCTTTGTCCACTGCATGTGGATATTGTTTCGCTTTCTGTAAAAAGAAGAGAAAAAATTAGCAACCGTTCTTTGGACAACCGGCTTAAGTTTATCTAAAAGTCCATTTACTGCACAATGTTGAGGTATGTACTATGCTTTAGATAAGCGAATTTGTTTAGTCAGCTGGTTGCTGAACGACTTTCGCAAGGTGTGATTTCGAAACGACCTACTTTATTCAAAATTATACCTTATATGTATAGCCCACCATATATGTGACGTTTTCGGGGTCACTTATACATGCACATGATGGTCGTTACGAAGTACAAATCTGCTGATATAGCTGTCAATTAGTATGTTTTTCTTGCCTAACTTTGACGTAACGAATTTAGTGGTTTTGTCACATGGAAAAGTGCTTCGAAAAAAATATGCAGTCGAATGCCGAAGACCTCTATCCACTTAATGATCTCATGACAGAAGTGAACTGTTGTGTTCGCGAACTTTTTGCCTTTGTACACCATGTAGACATCAAACAACTAGAAACATTACGCTTCTCAAACTGATTGCTCAGTATATAGTATTGGAGCGGCCCAAATCTGTTAGCTTCATGGTCCTACTATCTAGCTGTTTTTTCACCGCATTATAAGTCGGTAGGCAAATTCATGATGGTTGGTATTTAGAGTGTAGCTATAAGTCCGCCTGGAAGTGGCTGAAGATGTCCTGTTGTCTACTTTCTAAGAAATTAAAGTTTGGAGTTGTTATGGAATTGTAAGTTCCTAGTCTTACTTTTCGGATGATCCTGTAAATATTATAACTCGATTATGAAACGAAAAGTGAGGTTCAAATTTATAGTACTTACCAGCGGGAAAAAGAAACAATACATTTGACCGAGATATAAGAACATCCAAAGGCCAAAGAACGGTGCAAACGTCTTGAACAGTATATACCACCTTAGTTACAAATGAAATCTAAGAACCACAGCTTACAGTGGCTGTTCTTTCAAAATTTCATTTAGTTGTTCAGGATTATGTCCGGAAGCAAGATACATTTGCGCGTTGAACTGTTGCGGGTCATTAAAATCTCGTCTTTCACGTGGGAAGTCATAGGGTTCCCATGGGCTGCGACTAAGCGCGTTATATGGTTCTACGTAGAAGTAGTCTCCTGGTGCTAAACCATCATCCTCAAATGGTTTATAATCAGAAGGTAAGAGGTTGTAACGTTTGGCAGCTGCTTCTCGTTCGGCTTTTGTGCAGGGATACGGTTTCGGTTTCCATTCAATGTGATAATCTGCATAAATTATCAATTTACAAATGACAATAACAATGAATGGATATATTGTGTGCGAAAAAGTGGACGGCTAAACGCTAAATAGTACGAAATTTTTCTAAAGAATATTTACCCCCGCTGCAAACTAACCGCGTGGGAAGTGCATTACCTACACCGACTGGTAAAATGGCTTCTAATCAGTGATGGGTTTGGTTGGAGATGTTCGGATTTGCTGCCTTTGTTAATCGATGACACCTTTTAGTCGTTTTTTTAAGAAAATACATGTAGGCGAGGTGATTGCCAGAGGACAGAATTTCAGATATGGAAGGAATAGTGTCGCATCAAGTGAGAGCAATCAGTTACTCAAAAATAACTCATATTTCATACGGAATGTCGTTTCGCGACTGTAATAGATTATAAGTGGGATTATATTTTATGTTACCCAGTTACGGTGGTTTTTCGGAGTATCTAATTATGCATGATATTACGTGTAGATCACGTGAAATAGTCAGACTAGCTAGAAATATCAGAAGTGGTTTAGGAACAATCGGTTGAGATATACGTCTCCGGAATCAATAAAATATGGATTCCTTGGTATTTGGTTTTGATGAGGAATTATCACACTGACAGTACCATACAGTCAGTATTATGAGTGGCAAAATAGTTCACACACCTTCCTAGGACAAATCGGGAGACTGTCTCATCGGAAAAGTGGCATCGTTAAAACCAATTATGATTGTATAAATAGATAGTGACTCCACTAACCAATGGTAAGCATCACCATGTAATCGTTTCGTCAGAGCCTGACGCAACATCTACATTCGTCAAAGCGTTTTGGGAGTCCCCAATGGTCCGTATGTATCCCGGAATCGTGTCAACCAGAGGACAGATATCTATGAGTAGTACACTTTTAGCAGCGACAATATAACCAAGATCGAAGACTTTGATCAGATTTAGATTCAGCGAACTATTGAATAAACCAACTAATCTTTCAATATGACACACTCAGACCACTAGAAAATGATGTTTCTATACCACGATATTTGCATGGAAATGGCAATACAATTGTTTTTAGAACTAGCGAGATGAGAGCGTTTATTAAGACTAAGTATAACTGAAACACATGTGCTTCCACTTTAACACACTTTTGCATATCAAACTACTAAACACAACATTGTATTGAAAGGACAATTCTTTTTATAATCCGTTGTAGGTTGCTAGATATCTCAACTAGGCTATTCATTCGTGTAGCATTCATAACCAACCCCGTCTCCCTAATTCTTAGGAAAATGTCCGTTCTGGGTAAATTCAGAGGAAGCCGCTATAAAAAGATTTTGGAGGAATGACAAAAAGACCCTAAAATATCTCGAGATAGTGGAGAAGATTTATAGCTCAGAAGGATGATTTTGGTGGAGTTTTGTTCTTTAAGCTCACAAAACATCAAGGAAAACTACCAAGTGCCTTACGACTTTAGGGAAAACCCTAAATGGGGAGATTCGAAATTTCTTCTTGGACTACGAGAGTGCAGCATGTATTTGAGAAGTAAACAAGCCCAACATGTATGTAGTGCTGTATTGACTGAAGCGACAACTTTGGATGGTGTTTACTACAAAGCAACCCATCCCAATAAAGCTAATAGATGTAAAGTTAAATTACTGATGTTAAAGTTTTATTTGAGGATAAAACGTAGTAATGTTCATAAGTAAACCTACATGCCATACCCCGACACAGAGGAGTCAGGATTGAACTGCATGTCCTAACCACAAAAAGTCTCATAAGTGTAGTAAACTTTTAAGAAAGCCGGGCCGGCTACATTGTCCAATCACATATCATTAGTATGAGTTTATATAAACCGATAAATTTCTTTGTGCTCGCCTCTTATTGTTTCAGCACAGTTTCAGTTCTTTGGTAAATTTCCGATAGGTTCTGGCTTAGTCACTCGACTGAACTAATTGTAGTCCATTCGTCAGTTATTTGTTCGTGTGTTTATCTTGCAATCTGGTTGAGGACGTTTTTCTGAGTACAGTAAAGTTTCCGTACAATATGAGCTACTGCTTTATTAGTTAAGAGGTCATTCGATTGTAACGTGAAAAACAATAATGTGAAAATTCAATTGTCTCACGAATTAAAGAAAGAAGTTAACTAATTGATAATTCAGATATCCTGAGAGAATTAAAGCCTAAGATACGAACAAAACATAAATGATAGTAAAGGTGTCGCAAATATTCAGTATTCGACAACGCCTTAACCAGTAACACCTTTTATAATTGCAATATGCCAACCCAGACAAATCATAAGTCAGAAATGAAAGGGTTTGAAGATATATTTGAAGAGCTATCCGTATGTCGAGAAATGTTTGGTTTAAAGTGTTTAATGGTTGTAAAGGATGCGTAGCACAGCGTACGTACCTTTGACCTGGTACGGATGCGTGAAAGATCGCTTTTGGCTTGGTCGGGCCCAATAAAACTAATGATGTCAACGATTTCGAGAACTTACAAAACTATATGTTCTGAAAATTTACACACTTTTTAAATGATAAACAAGGTTGGAAGTAATTAATTATATATTATAATAACAATCTGTACGTTCAGAGGATTATATCAGCTGCAGCTAGTTCAATAGGAAGTTTCTCGTTCATTAGAGAATACATGCTTTTCACGTCTCCTCTTGAAGATATCCATTGTGTGGAACTTAATCACTTCGCCTGAGAGAGTTTTTCAAATGGTGTGAACGCCTAATGGGAGACATCAAGAGTTTGCTTCGGTTTTTGCTCCATGATTAGCAAATTTTTAGTGACTGACTAGTTAGACGTGGTCGTGATGTTCTAGTGGGATGATTGTGACGGATTTAAAATGGCGTGCCTCGAAAATTCTGTGCTGTTAATAGACTGCCAAACTTCCAACAGAATAAAAAAATTATTCGAAGTTCCGAAGTCTATCTTCATCCATTTCGGCTGACAGATTATGTCACGTTTCAGTTGGAGAATTCAACAACATTGTGGTTCTTGCAGCTCGCGAACACTCTGTGTATCTTCGAGTTAATCAGTTAATCTCCACTTAATTTTGAGGCCAGATCAGATAAACACTGCCTCATAACCTTTTCTATTAAGAATGTGTGCAATAATATCTCAAGCGCTCTTCAAGTGCTATGAGAGGTTAAACGTACGGGCATCATTTAGTAACGTCAGATTTCCAGCTGTCCCATTTTAAAACGTCAAGTATCTGTCTTATATGGATCGAGCTCGTGCTCCATAAATTATGTCGTTTCGTTCATGTGTTCCCTCGTTCGGTCGTTGAACAGTCCTTACATTGCCTAATTCAGTACTGAAGGTATTTTAACTGGCCTGTGCTAAGTAAGGTCCTTCTTATCTCTTGCTATAGAGATTGGAGTAGGTCACCTGTTTCCATTTCCTTAGTTGTCCGAATTTCGCCGAGTTTCTGAAAATGTCACGTGTTGGTTTGATGATTGCCTTCGTGCAGTTGGACATCGCGTTCGCGATGTTCATTCGAACTACAACTTACCAAATCAGACAATCTATAGTCCACCACACTGACTAGCTCTTAAGTCTTTTTGCCAACTCTCCAGCGACATCTACGGCTTACGGTTTGAAGCGTCTACCCAACAATGTATTAAAGTCAACATGATTTCCCATATCACATGTGGTGTATCTGAATACATCCTCAATAAAATAGAATTATTTGTCACTACATTATGGTGTCTGTACGGAAGTCTTAGTTTAACTAAAGTGGAGTTCTTTACAAGTATTTCTTAAAGTTTGTTCTACAGTCTTTCGTCATTTTCTCGTCCATTACGTTCCGAATGTGAGACGCTGAATAAGACCATTGAGATTTTTCTGACGAAATTAACCTTTATATTTAGCGGTCGAAATTAATTACCGACATGACCTTGGATAAAAAGAAGGAAAGTATGTGCTTGGGCAGTTTTCTATGAAGCCTAATTTGATGGCAAAGTTATTTCGCAACAACAAGCCTACATTACTGTGGCATTTGCACGGATTAAACATTCTTTTGTACTAGTTTTCCCGCTTATTACGGATGACAAAAACACGCGTCCGTTTGAGCCTTATTCTCTCTGCTTCTGTCTGATTGACATTACGCTGTTTCAGGAATCCCTGGTTAATACGTTAATTCGAATACTTCCGTTCACTATAATTTCATGCAGTGGAGGCATTTCGAAGTGACTGACTGCAAGTGATATGAATTAATTGTTGTATTGTGCGTAATTTTACGTTGATTGCTTGATATCTAGGAAGGTTGGATTTTAGTTCATTGCTCTCCTCTCATTCCCACGGCAGTATAAGTTCTCCAAGGAGAACTTATGGGCGGGGTCATAATTATGACCGCAACTATGATGTGGGGCAATGAAATCCATCTTCGCCACCTTTATCGTAAACAGTGTGCTATTGAAATTGTAGAAAACATCGTTGATCCGCAACTGTCTACAGTATACTGTCAAGCTGAGTAATAATAAAAGTTCAAAGACTTTTGATCTACCTTTTGAAATATGTATTCAGCATTGCTGACAACCTTTTTGTTTCCAAAGTATTTTCTGATCCATCCATTGACAAGATCTTTCACAACCCTGCACGACAAAACTTTTCACAAATAGCACTAAGCAGGTTACTTTAATTTTAAGGCTTACCAAATCGTTAGCATATGATATTGTTTTTCTCACCTATAAGCGGTGGAATCAGAGTACTGTAGTTGACCAACGAAAAATGCGCTCGATCAAGGCGAATCGCGAAGAGAAATAAATTTCATTTACCTACACAATATGACTAGACCGGATGGAATAAAAAGAACCTTGCAACAGACACCGCCAGATAACTAAAGTCAGTAAACGGTTTAATGATGAAAAGTCAGATCGCTTTTGCTTGTAATGCTACACATTTTGATACATAATCGTCACGGCCAAACTTTGCAAAAAACCTCTATGGGGATGGCTAGAAACTTCAAGATGAGAGCAATCAGCTGTTTAAGGTCATCAGTAACTGCAATAGTAAATGAACATCATCATCAGTACTATTTGAAGGTTGATCTTTTAGAAACAGATAATCTGGTCAATATTGATTTATATCGTTTTTTCATTTCGTTTCACTTCCAACAAGGCAGCCTTGGATCTCAGTGTATCAACATACTTGCAGACGTCATGCACTCAAGTCGTTTTCTTGGGACTGTCTACAGTACCTGATTCATCAGGTTTAATTCCAACGCAACAGAAACGTTTAGTTGTTGCCTCTCGGGTTATCTGGAAGACTTCTGAGGCCTACTTTGCTTGATTGAACTTGGTTTTGAATTCTTCCCCCTCTCGACGGCAATATACTAATCACCTGAGATATGCAACGAGCAAACTGTGTACATTTGGTCTGAAATCAGGGAGTGGTCTAGCGATAAAATGTGCATTAATTCAATCAAATCACTATGTTATTCTCTATAGTGTGCAATATTTCTGAAACTCGCTGGCTTTCGGTGATCATATTGCAACAGAAATTTTATGCAGTACCATTGTGAAAGCAGATCATATGAAAAACCACTTTACCTGTGCCATTCATTTACTATTCAGTCATAAGTAATTATGGTACAAGATAACGCGTTAAAATGCAAAAGTTACTAAATATTGTTTAGTGCCTGGAAACTATCATTGATATTCTCGACATAACCGTGTCAATCTATCGCCTGAAATAAACCTATCAAACGACAATCTTTTCTGACAGTCAGAGAGCAACGGTGATCTACCGCTCTACGTCATAACCCTGATGTTAGGTGAACAAGACGATTTCCTCAGTAGTTCGGCAACATATTGCATTGAAGGGAATTTGGTGGAGTAAAAAAATTTCCATAGATTCTATACTAACGATCAAGCTTTACCCGAATAACGTGAATTCTGAATTACGCAATAAACCCCGTATCATGCAAAATCGGTCGTCTTAGTACAGGAGTTATGGGAATCATCTCTCGGCATTCGTTATTGGTCGCGTTAAGTCTATCTGTTACGGCAAGTGCCACAATATTATGGATTTCAAGATGATAACAAGCGTTTGTTCAAATAAGGAGCAGGGGATAAGTGTATAATTAGCAATTTCACCTTACTCTGGAAATAATGTGATTACCCGTGAAAATCCGGTGCCTTGAAAGTGTCTAGTATCCAGCGTTTCTGGTATAAAAAAATCAAGGTAGTGCTCTGTTTATGTGATGAACAAGGAAAGATTACAGATAGCATGACTCATCTTATATACTTTGGAGATGCAGAATATAGCTCTGCGTTTCCTCAAGGTGAACCCTGGAAATTTACCCTTCTTCCGTCCCTGTAGTGAGCATAAGAGAGCCGCCTTCATTAGATTCAGAGTTCGAGACCCAGAGACAATGGAAATGTGAATAATTGAACATAAGACACAAAATTTACCTATCACTATTCATCTGTAACTCTGCTTTGAGGACGAAAGAAGTGAGACTATTACTTGGGCTATTGATCGCAGAGTATGCAGTATCCAAGTTAGTAAGGTTACAGTTTTAAAACCCGACAAAAATAATACCCAAATGTAAGACATATATACTAACTGAATTATTTTTGCGAATCACTAATAGATATTTGAAACATTTCAAGTAATTACCAGATAACATATTGAAAACTCTGATGGAACTTTATGAGACTATCTCGGATGAAACTTTAGCAAAATTATGTGTTTTAATCGTCTGTCCGGTCTTAAGCAGGTTTGAATGCATTAACATTCATTATTCGTATATCTGTATCTGGGTTGGTGAACTCTAATTCCTATTTGTAGCTTTACAGTTACTATGGGTTCCTCAATGTACTATGTAGTAAATCTTTTCACATCGGATTTAGTAGATCGAACAAAGTAGGAGGTAGTTACATGAAGAATTATAAAACTCCGTAGATTAACAGATTTAGAATGTATAGCTTGTAGAGTTTTGGATATTAATATAACTAAGTTATTTGACTGTTTTATGGAGAACGATGGGCAAATTTTCTGGAAAAAGGTGAATTACAAGTAAACTGTCCTAATTATGTACACTTACGATTGCATAGCTCCCTTCTTATTGAAACAAGTAATGTCAATTTTAATGTTATAATGATCAATGGTTCATTTTTCTCTATTTTTAAATGTGTTAAATTTATATATCCGGGTGGGTATTTTTGATAAGTCCATAGACTTACCACTATTTGTTTCTGAAAAATCTTTGAACCGATGTTTTCTTGTTATATGTTAAAAAAAGTGACCAACCACTGCGTTGTTAATCTGTTTTTGATTTATTAGTGATACATCAACAGCTAATATTGACGTTACACAAGACGGCTCCTACAGACTCAAAAACAATAAGTATCAATATTTATTAAAGTTAAATTTTAAAGCGCAAACCTTCATTCATGATGTAATTTTCCACTGCATAATTTTTTTTAGACAAGAAAAATAGAGACAAATTGTATACAAAAATATCATATGAAAATTATTTAAGTATATTTTATGAAATAGATAAGATGACTGATAATAAGATAGTTCGTTCTGAAATTAAGTTAAAATCATCGCCTCTCATATATATATGATAAGCTATAACGTAAACAGATCATTTAATTCTCTGACCAACCAACAGTCCAAGTAAAAATACACCAATAACTGTTAGACCAAACGATATTTTTTGTGATAAATTCAGTGAACACTGATTTTCCTTCAGAAATAAACAGAAATCGAAAACATACGATTATGGATACAAATAAAAGAAACAAAAGGAATAATCTTAATAATGCTATCAACAGTTTACTAGCTATAGTCCTTTTTTCTAGATCATCATTGCAACAATTGAATAGTTATGAATAGTTTTGTGCCTACATTACTCGAATAAAATGGTAAGGTTTTAAAAAATGATATTTTAAGTAAATGTTTATCATGATAACTGGATATGAATTTGAATTGGAAAAAACAACGCGTATTATACAAAGTTATAAAAAAAGAATTTCATTTATGTACCTACACTGAAAATACATTTGAGGAAGATGCTGTCCACTAAAACACTAATACATTTATATACATACGTTAGACAGCATATGAACTTTGCTATTATTTTTCGAAGACTGTTTACTAAATTTCTTTTTGTAGGAGAAAATTCGATAGTCTAATTTGGTAAGAGAGATTGAAAACAACTACTGAAAATAAATGATAAGCAACCAAACTTTTCTGTAACAAACGAAGTGACCCCATTACTTTATACAAGTTTCAAAACATACAAATCACTACTTCATTTCCCATGGTAGTTACCAATTCATATGTGAGTGGCAACACATAAAAACAAAGAACAATTGAGTTGATGATAATAATAAATGATTTTAAACTCATTTGACAGCACAATTCCAGTAATGGGATAGGTGAATTGTGCAAATTCACATCACAGTAAATTGTTGAGGTGGCTATTTGAAACAAACGTAGATTAAATTTTTTATGTCATTAGGCTATACTTTTCTTTATAGAAGCTCTAGCCCTCAGAAGATTTCAACCTCTCTTACATCATTAAAATAATCAGTGATGCGAAAACTAACCATTCCTGTCATACATTAATTACTTGATCTTCTTTTAGCTTTCCTACTAAAATATAGTTGGTAGGCGTAGAGAAATAAACATTCAGCTTGCTAAATGCTCTGATACTAATTAATATCATGAGTTTCTTTCTATTATTGTTCTCTACCCTGACTTCATTGTGTATGTAAACTTTCAGTATTTGTGTTACATAAACCATTCATTAATCATCCCCACAGAGACATGTACAATATAACTTGAGTGAAAAAATACTACTTTTTCAATTATTTCTTTTACATGACCCTGCAGTAATATTAAAAGTTTCAGCATTTAATATAATTTCAACGGTTGAGATCATGAGTCAGTTGAAGCTAGACCACCATGGAAAACCTGGAAGTACTGGACGGCCGTTTCGTCGTATTGTGGGACTCCTCAGCAGTGCGCATTCACGATCTCGCCCCTCCCTGCGAGATTCGGACCCAGGACCTATCAGTCTCAAGCGTGAGCGCTTAAACACCAGACCACTGAGCCGTCATATAAAATCAATTAGTTGTGACAATTAACCAATTATGAAATTTCATCTTAATTTTCGTATTTTTTGTGTTATAAAACTGGTTTCTGTATTATTAAGTTAATTCATCACCATCTATTGATATTGATTTTCGATTTCATTTTAAAACCTATACAATATTAGTGTAATTCCTTAATACGTAATTATTTGAACGTAAATACATTAATTCCTGATCTATTATTTATTATTAGTTGTAAATAGCATATTTATATGTTACGCAATTTAGTCTATATCAAGTGGATTTCTTCATAGTATTGTCCTATTACACTGTATTATTTCTAAGAGCACAAAAATATACTTTTTCTTTTTTACAACACCTTTATATAGTCGTCATCAGTGAATGTATCAATCAATTATTAGACATATGTAATGATTAAATTTATACGGAGATTTTTCATTATTAAGAAAATTTAAAAAAGAAATTAATTATATCACTCATGAATAGTTACTTAGTTTATAGACATATATCGTAACAGTTATAGCAACAAATTAAAAATGACGCGAAATACCAGTTACTATCGCGTATCATGGCATAAAGCAAAATGGATGATAAATATATTTATGAGACAGGCTTTAGACTTCTGTGTAAATAAACGCTTAAAATAAAATATGAGTAATGAATTACTAGAAACTAGAATCAACTTTTTTAAATGATATATACAATAATGTTCTTATCAGAAGGGGTTTAGTGGAGATTTTAGCAATTAGCTGAAGTTAGTCATTAATACCGTTGAATGACTGCCGGCTCAGTGGTCTAATGGTTAAGCGGTCGCGCGCGAGACTGATAAGTCCTAGGTTCGAATCCCGCGGGTGTCGGGATCGTGGATGTGCACTGTTGAGGAGTCCCATACTAGAACGAAACGGCCGTCTAGTGCTTCCAGGTTTTCCATGGTGGTCTAGCTTCAAATGACTCATGATTTCAACTATTGAAATAATAGTCTTACTAAATGATGCAAAATAATGAATAGAGAGAGGGAGAAATAAATGAATACATTAAACAGAATTTCATTTACTTTAGTTTTCTTCTCATCTTCATGTCGCTCGTTACAGATATGATCCAATAAATCGAAAAGTGTATTCTGTGATTCACTTATTGATTTATTCGATGTCCAGTTTAAACTTCGTTTAATTGATTCATGCCAACCGTATAATTTAACTGCGCGATCATTTGAATTAATTTTTGAATAAAATGCTGACTGATATTCATCTGATTTATTAGTCGAATATTCTCGAATTTTTAATAATCCAGTTGGATTAATGTCCAGTGCTAATGCCACAGTAATTGCCGCACCTAATGCAGTCATAACATCAGAATGATTATGACGTCGAACAGTTACATCTATTCAATGAAAAATAAAATAAATAGGGGAGATAAGTAAACAATATGAAATAAACAATTACGTACTAAATATTGTATTAGTAGTATTAAGTTGATCAGTTAACCGATTATTGTTATACATGAAATGTAGCACAAGTTTTGCTAGCCAGTAAAATTCATGAAAATCAAATGTATACTTCAAATGAGAAGGATAGATTGTTTAGGTTTAGGTTGAACTTGATCGGTTAATTAGTTTAATGAAGTTACTATACTGTCTGTAATTATTATAAAAAAGTATGATAACTACATATCAATTTACATTGCAACAGAAGTTTAGTCAATCAAAAAATTCTCAAATTAGTACTCTTCCCTTATAACCACGAGAAATAGAAAAACGAAACAATAATACAATCGATTTTGAAGCCTTGCAGTCTACAACACTAATTGCCTTCAGGGTAGATTGACACTAAAAATTACAGTTCACTGAAAAGTAGTTTCATCACCGGAAGGATCCCCTACGATATCCACAAACCTGCTCTATTCATATTTTGTAACTCTCACAACAAGTATAGATTTACGAATAAAAATTATTATTTAAACAGATTCCTTGTTTTTCTACTACCAGTATATCACTATTCACAAATTAAAGCAAAATTGTTTCTTCAGAAATGTAAACAACTAGAATCATAGTGAAATTCCTGAAATTTGAAGGTTGGATTCGGAGCTATCAACTATCATACGAAGTTCAATAATGTTAATAAACAACCATATTATTTAATAAGCCTTGAAATTAATCCTTTGATTTTCTTTTCAGTATATTATTCTGTTTTTTTACTGTTTCCTGCAGAATTAGAAAACAATTGTTTGTATTTGAATTAGTTTTTACAAAAATGAACAGTACAATAATATATTTCGATCGTTATCCTAATATCAATCGGATTTAATATTGTAGTTGAATTACAGTTATTTGCTAAAAGTGGATACATTCTAATATTTAAGGTTATGTTCACGCTTTTTCCGTTGATTGTATCTTCCAAACAGGAAAAGTTGACTAATATTGTAGTGAACAGAACACGGATGGGGACAATCAAATGTATTTAACATAAAATTACAGGACTTGTTAATAAAATCTAACAACCATAAAGTAAATGCTTAATTTGCAAAATGTCCACCAATTGTCTCAAAATGACTCAGTCTTCATTGTTCTTGCATTTCCGTACAAATCAAATTCTATTCCCATTATTTACTGTTCGATCCTCTTGTCTCTCTGCTGCCCGACCTTCTGATCACGACTAACATCATATACTACTTATGTCAACATAAGTAGCACACACCACAATATAAGCTATCCAAACAATTACCAAATCATTATACACTTCAACGTAATCTACGTGAACGATTAGAGAATGTTACTTTCTCGATAGACATCTACAAATAGTATACTCACAGTTTAGCTTAACCATATATGTATTTTATTTTTTACTGGAGTTTAGGATTAAAAATAACTAACTTCAAAATTAATTATTCTCCTGGATCCTGTCTCTGATAAATGATTTATTTATGTACTTTAATTCTGTAGCTTTTATTTGTATATTTATTGCCAATTGAAATATTCTATAAGGCTAAATGATTGATTACTTGAATAATTCGGGGTAGATTGTAAAGGTTGTGGAATAAATTCCCTGAGTTATTTTTATTGTATTTGACGATGATTATGCGAGTTGCTGACCAACTGTGATGAATAACTAATAAGGCAAATATTTTCCTAGCACGTTTATATGCAAGAGTAACAGGTTCAAAGTCAGTGAAATGACTCTTTCTAGCCGTTTTTCTTGGAGTAACTAGATAATATATATATATATATATATATATATATATATATATATATATATATATATATATATATATATATATATATATATATATATATATATATATTATCTAGTTACTCCAAGAAAAACGGCTAGAAAGAGTCATTTCACTGACTTTGAACCTGTTACTCTTGCATTACCGCTAAATTCTCGTTTTATGATATTCTATATGATATTCTATCCTATACAAATACCAATGTTGAGGTTGTATAGCGTTGAAATAAAGTGATGTATCAACTTATTACCGGCATGCTGGGTGAAATAATAATAATAATGATAAAATTGGTCAAACCTACTCAAAATGTCAGCTAAGCTTTGCATAAGAATGTCACTATTGGACATCCCACCATCAACAATAATTTCATTTGGCTTTTTTAATGCCATTAATGGAACTATTGAATTGCATTTATTATTAGCTTTAGCTAAAGTAGCCACAAAGAGAACATCATATGTTTGATAAACAGATGATCTTAAGCCAGCATAAACAAGATCAGATTTATCAACATTCGCTGTGATTCCACAAATGACACAACGTGCACTTTCTTGCCACCATGGACAGAAAAGACCACTAAATGCTGGGACTAAATAGCATGGATCTGGTTCATTAAATCTTTGTTTTCTGTATACTGAAGCAGACAATTTCTCACATTCCGCATCATCTTTAAACACGTCCAGTTTTGTCTTTAACCATCTCATTGTAGCCCCAGAAAATGATATAGCACCCTAATTAAGTAGGAAAGAAAACGTCAAGACTTTCACTCACTCAACATAATATTAGTACTGAAAGCGATAATAGAAAAATCGGATTTCCTATTCATGGTATACGTTTCAAAAAGCATTTTCGATCAATCAAGTTTCTCATGATTAAAATTAATGATGTAAAAATGAGAGTATTGCATTAAGCTCTGCTTTGATAGGTTTAAAAAGAACACTCATTATTTCAATCATCACATCATTTTACAGTTTTCTAAAGTAAGTGTTACTGAAAGTATTCAATAAAACAGAGAACATAAAATCTCAGTGAATCTACACTCTTGATGGTTTATGTGAAGGAATAAATGTAAGGAGCGTTCATTGAAGCCGATTTGATGTTACTTAACATTTGTAAGCAATACTAAAGTTGAAATATAGTACTTAAAGTAAACGAGTTATGCTTAATATTGAATGAATCCTCATTCAAAATCATTTAACACACTAGGCACTTAATCACTATGAGGCTATGATTAACTGTTCTAAAATTTAATCTTATACTTTATTGAGCCGAATAGTTTAATTGAAAAGTTGTCATTATCACTAGGGATAATATCAGAACAAAAGTGAATAAGTTACATTGTTGTCATATAGAATAAAAATCAAATCTTTATAATTAAACAATTAAGTTAAGAGAATGCAATTCCATTAAATGTACAAACATGAACAACAAATTATTATGACTTTTAGAAATTCCAATTTTTTTAATACATCTCAACTGAAGTGCCATAAAAGTTAGAATATAACTTTTGATAATGCAATGAGAAGACGAAATTTATCAGAATTATGTGATATATTAGCGGAATACATTTCAAACAACCTGATCAAACATAAACTTGTTAAGAACATTGACATATGAAAATTCCTTTGTTACGGCTTAACTTTAACCTGTCCATTGCGAAACATTTGATTGAGACTGGTCATAAGGTTGATATCAAGTCAGCATTCGTAGTGTTATACAAAAGCCTTCGAGGACGTATACTAAGGTTTATTGAAGCCGTGGCTATACGGAAACTGAAACCCGCTTTCATGCGTTCAAAAACAATTCGTCCTTACACTTAACCTACCCTGGTAATACTGACTTATTATCCAGAGTGATAATCACATTGTTTTGGCATACTTAAATTTTTTTTTTTACAGCTTACCTTTAACCCGTCTAGTTGACCTTTTTTATATAAATGTTCTAACCAAGTATGTGTGTGATAAGATTGTTCGAAATGTATTGCGCTAATATATCACATAATTCCGATAAACTTCGTCTTCTCATTGCATTATCAAAATTTTTCAAAGGGCCTAATTGTTTTGGAATATAATTCTCAAGAATCGTTTATCATTTTAATTTGATTAAAACGAACAAAATGTTAGAATATATTCAGCAGAAATTATTGAATATATAATGAATTTGATGGAAAACTATTTTTACGACTGAATTATGATGTTTAATTATTTAAGGGTTCAATAAAAAAAAGCATATCTTTGATTTTACAATCCGAATTAAATATGTACGACATGAACTTATTACTCATCGATAATATTGAATGATAGTTAAACTTATGTAATAGAATGAATGTAATCAATAAATGAAATATCTGTATTCCCACACAGTAACCTAGTTATTATTTTACTCATAGTGATACCAGAAAATATCTGGATTCGATCGTGATTGTGATTGTTAGTATACAGCTCTAAAACGTTCTGAAACCTAGATGAAATAGCTGCTTATAACTCACTTATTTTCAACAGTTATTTAGGTAATTCTAATTCATGATGAAAATGATTATCATTTACTATGATCAAGCAAGTTATTGAGTAATGTTGATTCCTACCTACAAACCACAACGGATAGAACATCAAGGACCACTAATCTAGAACAAACTTCAATGACCTATATTTAGTTTAATAAAAATAATAACAAACGTATCCAATTGAAATTATCCGAGAACCTGATAGTTTTTCAGAATCACCTACTAGAAAGATTTGTCTATATAGTACTACAACGTAGGTGAATTTCTTTAAATAAATATTTTTTTGTTAAGAACTCTTATTGAAAATTGAAATCATCCTGAAAATTGAAAAACAATGAACAGTAGTGATTTGACATTGCTTCATAATCAACAAACATATTCTTACTTGATTTCAAACATAGGACTGTCAGATGTTGTGATGAGCCCAATATTATTAAGCTAATGACCAAAGATATTATCGTTCGTCGAACATCTATGTTGACAATATAATTTTCTGAGATGTAATGAAACATCAATGGTGTTCAGATAACCATTAACAGTCAGACTAACAGAAAAAGAACCCTAGGAATTCAACCCATAATGATACCTTTAGTTATTTAGACTGCACTAGACAACATGATCGATTGAGATAGTTAAAAGTCCGGGTTTCTATGTTGTATATGATCGAGGGTACACAATGCTTGAGATGTGTAGTAGCTAATAAAACAGATGTCTAGTTCTCCATGTTTTCCATTGATTCTCCAAATGATTTGAATTTCGGATGACAATTAACTTTAAACTGTGCAAACTACACAAATTGTAAACAACCATCATGTTTGTTTATAGGTGTTACAATTGTGACTACAAACAATCATGTAATAAAATAAGCAAAAATCCTAAAAGTACATTTATTTCAACAAAAATGGTTGTAATTTGGTCATTCATTTAATCTCGGATCAAGATGGATGAGATACACTGAATTTATACTTATACTATCCAACAGAAAACAACTTTCTAACGAATTATCACTTACCAAAAAATGTTTCTAATGTCCTTCGTTCTACAAAATAACGAAATTAGTAAAATTAAATTGACCATAACTACTTATCATTTTATTGTAAACCTACCTCTAAAGCATAATATGGTCTTCCTTTTGAACCCATTTTATACGCTATTGTGGTTAGAACACCTTTATCTGAAAAATATGGTTGACAACCAATATTCCATAGCATAAATGCTCCAGTTCCATACGTTACTTTAACCCTGGATATATCTGATAAATTATTTTCATCCACAGAACTGGACAGTCCCCATGTTTGTGCAACAAGTGATGCTTGTTGATCACCTAATATCCCATAAATAGGAACGCCTTTCATTAAACATTTTGAATCTTGAATAACACCGATTAATTCAGATGATGTTACTATTTTCGGAAGTGTACGTGGATTAATATGAAAAAATCTGTAATTAAATGAATAAAATAAATGTAAGTGTAATCATTTTTCAAGTGACGTAAGGAATTTTGTGAAAACTACTGAATTTTACATATTTAAAATAGGAATCGATTTTAGGAAACGATCAGGAACCAGGAAGCATCTGATAGTCATTTCGCCCCAGTATAGAGCTTTTCATCGGTGTGTATCCATGACCCTACCACGAATTGAATGCTGGACCTTCGGTCTCACACTGAGCCTTAAATCTGTAGACCAATGAGCCAGTATGCAATGATGTACATTTCTAAATTCAGTTGACTTGAAACTATCTTCGATTGTCTGTTGTGGACAGCTAACTTACGACGGACATGGCTGAAATCATCTAGTGATAAACTTCGCATTAGAACTTAAGAAACTACCAGTTCAGTTATCTAGAATTTAAAAGCTCACCGCGAAACCAAAGGTTCTAGATTTAAATCCCGGTGGGGGTCATGGATGCACACCGATGAGAAGCTCTATACCAGGAGGAAATGAATGTCCAATGCTTCCTGGTTTCAAATAGTTTCCTAAGACAAATCGTTAATTTGAATATGAAAAAAATTTAACAATCTTAAACGGTCATACATTGGTTTAATGTGCTAGGAATTATATATACAGTGTAAAATTCTTAGAATACGATACTACATGACTCTTTAAGCCTAAGCACATACATGAGTATAGCAGCAACCTATAAAACTTAGTTTAAATCCAGTTTTCTAAAAAAACACATATAATCACAATTATATTGCCAGTCGATGTGAAATCTAGGTACAAAACAGTGTGTTATTAAATGTTAAGAAAACTAATGACCTATTAATTATTTTAAAAGTGAACTGATTTGTGCAAGTATATAATTCGTCAAATAATTATGTATGAATAATATAAACATTGAATAAGTATTATTCGGTAGAATAAATCTGAGTATGTAATTAATAAATTACTCGACATTAGGACCTAAGACCTGAAGTTCGAACGCTTCTCTATCATAGTACTCAACTCAAAATATATCATAAGAATAATTTTTAGCTTAATATTGCAAATGAGTGTTTACCTTATGAACAGTAAAAAGTGTCTTACGCTTACTGGCATAGATCATGATCCCACTCCAATGTATTCAAATTAAATAGTAGTGTACGGCTTGCATTCGTCACATCAGTAACATGGCACATCTGACTAGTTAGTTTCCATATTAGCCATGAATCAACTGTGCCAAATAATAATTTATTTTCTTCATCTGCTTTAACCACTGACTTTACATTATTTAGTAACCAATTCATTTTTAAAGCTGAGAAATAACTATGTATCGGTAAACCTGTAATATGCTAGAGAAGGAAATGAAAAAGTATATATATATATTTTTTTTTTTTTTCAAATTAAACTATTATTATAAAACAGGCAGATTGTGGTTGACTCCGGAATCCAAGATTCACGTTTTGATTAACCTGAGACTCATCAGATAGATGTACTACAATCTCAATGTTGACATTCACACTGATAACAGTTTTGAGTTCAAATGTGGACATCAACACTGTACTCATTTACCTTCTATTTTGATTATCAATTTACAGTTTGGAGAATCTTTCAAGGAAAATGAAACACATAAGTGCCACAATAATGACAATATCTTTGTGTTGAAGGCGAAGATATTTTGAAACCATTTAAAATAACCAATAAACGAGATATATCAACTATTAAAAAATGAAGTTAAATATAATCTGGATTTGTTCTTTTAATGGCAAAATCCATCATTTCTAGTGATACAGAAAATAATACGCAATTATAACCAAAGCTATTACTATTATGGGCTTTATTCAATAATATGTTTTTGGTACAGTATAGAATTTTCAGCAAAAAGTATTTAAACAAGTTTCTTTTTCTTATTTCTTGATTGACCCTGACGATAAATATTAAGTGATCGCCAGTTAGATGTTAGTAATTTAAAAATAGACATCTGAATACATATTACCAGCCACCACAATGTCTTTGATTTTACTTTTTGTAACTTGTACAGCGAAAGGTCGTAAAGTTTTCATAAATGCGTTTGGATTGGTTATACAATTAAGACATAATAATGTGTGAAAACAAACAAAAGCAAATAACTTATTGAAATATCTAAATGACAGGAATAGGTAACCCAAATATTTAAGCAGGTCGTCAATCATAATGAGATACTTTTGAAATTCCACCTTTCATCAATATTCCACAGTAACGATATTAGCAAAATAATAGTTTATAATGTGTCGGAAGTGGTTTTGTGGAGATTGTAGTCTAGCGCGCGAGACTAATAGGTCCTGCGATCGTGGATACTCACTGCTGAGAAGTCGCACAATAGAACGAAACGGCCATCCAATGCTTCCAGGTTTTCCATGGTGGTCTAGCTTCAATTAACTCATGATCTCAACTATTGAAGTTTATAATGTGTTTTAGAATATTATACTTATTTCCTGACATACATACATTTGATTTTCAAAACAAATTAATCAGTTAATCTTCAAATAAAATAAATAAATCTGAAATATAACTATATAAACTGTTGTAACGGGTGACTGCAGGTTAGATGGAGCAGCGTTTTATTGATCGGTTACAGTGACACGTAAACACGTACGAACGACCTGGTGTCCTGATCGGCCTGCTTCCCTGTCTATCCCAGCCATTCGAGTCCACAACGAAAGTCACAGCCTCTGAGATATGAATCATTGTATTTCAGACACTCTATTTATATACTAACCAAAAATACCACATCGTACCATAAAAATAGAAAACAACATTTACACAATATTAAACAAGTGAAGTAAATATCGACCAATAGGGAATGTACATTTAGCGTCCAAGGACAACATTAGACTTAACATGATAATTATTGGTCTATTTTTCTGCACATCCTAACATAAACCTTTTATAGATAATAAGTTTACAATTACAACGGTTTAATGAGTTCAAGTCATGTGGGGAATTTACAATTGTTATGTAAAAAAACAAACAAACAGAATATTAAGTAATCAAAAAAGTATGTTCAAATTACTTGTTTATTGTGATAATTCGAGTAATAAAGTTGATAAAAGTTACAATTTCTATAAATCTACCATGATGTCATAAAATCATTGTTAACTTAAACATACTACTTATCTTTATTTCTATTATTAATTAAATATAATATTTTACGAAGAAATTTTTCAATGATATATATTTTAGAAATTTCATATGATGAACTGTCTTTGTTTACTTAATCAATAAAAAACAGGAAGCATTGGACAGCCATTTTGTCTCATTAAGAAATATTTCAACAGTGATCATTTACAATATTCCTTGATTCAGTTTGATGAATTTCTAGTTTTAATAAAACAACTTTAACTATATTGGTTAGTTATTTATTGAATGATCTGTGAGAATAAGAGATTACCTAGAGGTTTTTAGAATAAAGACTTTTGATGTTTTATGCAAGTAATTATATAATCTCAATAAAAATAAATCAAGTTTATTTTACGTCTCTAATATTCTTAAAAAGTTAATTTATACATGAATTTTAGTTTTTTATGAGTATTCTTGATAATTTTATATGGATTTCTCGTCACCAAAAATTAAAGGATGCAATAGTTGGCTAATTTGATTCTTTTTAGGGTAAATATCTGATAAAAACCAAACCCTCTAACGTTTTACTACATTATTTATTTCTAATTTATAACTACTGAATTAACTGTTTTTACTTTTGTTTAACAAAGAGAATATGTGAACTATTTCAGAGTAGCATTTTGAGAAAAAAAAGACACCGGTTTGTTGGGGATAGAAAATTTTTAATCGATATCACGTAATATATCGCTAGTCTGACTAGTGCTCAAGTTCACGAGTTTTACACACTGACAATAGCCTTAATGTCTAATCGCTCCTCGAGCTCATTTATAACATAGCAGTTAATCAGAAGAAGGTGATAGGAGACGGATTAGCCCTCTATTGTACTCGATTTTAATCATGATTAAAAAGTAACACAATAATACTGAAAATACCTGATCACACAACATATCAAATATGAGATTACACTTTAAGCCCAATCATATCATTAGTGGTAGACGGTAGAACAAACAGTTCTTAATCAATTAGCAATAATTAAGAGATAGTTAAATGCATAACAATAGTTAATCTATCCACTGAAAGTTTACAATAAGGGTGATATAGAAACAGAATGACATACTTATCTAATAATTATGTAATGAATAAATAAATAATAATCCGAAAAATAGCACCAAGAGTTTAAAATTTCTCAATATTCGTTATGTTGCAACAATTAGGTACTTGATTTTAGGCTAAACTTTTCTATTGAGTACTGATATTTAATTTGCTATCACTACTTCAGTTGTTTGTTTACTTCTTATCAATGGAGTACCTTATCATGGAACAATTTATTCAGGATCACTGAAATCAATACAATTAAGGTTTAAAGTAGAAATATAAATGCCCTTAAATCTTGATTCAAAAAATTTCAAATAACCCATGGTAATCCAATATTTATTCAAACAACAAGCCTCACATTAACAAACGATGAGTGTTAGTATATAATCTCCGAAGATGAAGGCTTTTTGTCTTAGCAAAATCCATAAAATAAATCCTACAATAATTTAAAAGAAAACGTAGAACAAACAAATTCAGTTAAAATCTAGTTTAATCTGTAACGTGCAAAAGAGATCGTGATAATCCAAATAAAAATTTGAGATATCAACCCACAGACACGTTATAATCACGGATATTTAAGATGGATTAAGCTTCAAAGCAAAGGTTGGAGGTCATTTAAATAATTACTCAAGGTGAAGAACTAAATGTAAGGTCATAGATGGAAACACTAACGATTAGTGCAGTAGCAACATGTATTAAATGGATTGAACGAGGTAAAAAGCCCAGCTCTGTAAGTTTGATCGAATAAACCAAACTATAATAATCTATTTTCCATTAAATTTTCATTAGGAAATACAAATAAAATTGTTTACAGTCCACGTTCATAAGTACTGATGCTAAAATAAATGTATTTTATGAATCCACACGTACTATATTCGTCACGATTTCATTTAAACATAATAAGTAGGTTTATATAGTGAAGTCTTCGCTGAGGACAACTAATATACAACACGACAACGAAAAACTAAAACTGTTGATACTGATACTGAAGAGTTCTAAAAAAATAAACAAATGAAATACAATGATGATGTGTGACGACGTGTTATTATTTTACAATAACTATTCACGTACATCCAGCTGAAAAGTCCCATATAGGACAAAACGTGCGTCCTGAATTCCACTGTTAGCCACCGTCAATCTCCAAAATCTTTATGATATAATGGCAATATCGAAGCAGTCCACACAGGACTGCCATATATACCACAAAAGACTGAGGGATTACAATCCTAAAACGAAGCGAATTACGAAAGGTCATTGATTAATTTATTTTATTCTCAATTCGTCATTTACTTTTTCATAAGTAATTCATAGGTTCATTCATAAATGAATGTTCTAATTCTTTAGTACATTTTCAATTAATCAGTCAGTGATTTTATTTCATATGTTCATCACAATCTGATGTTAGTTTATCAACATTTAATATTGTACATTTATTATATAATGGTTCAGAAAGTTTGCATGAATGTTATAAAAAAAAGTTTGATTTCGAGTCCAGTATCATTCAAACAAGAGCTTAGCGATCGTTTAAAAGAACAAACTGATCAATGTATTGTATTAGTAGTCTAACAGATAAATTTACCTGTTCAAATAAATGAATATTTAAAGTAGATCTATCTGAAAATATCAATATGGAAGTATAGGTGTATTTATAACTGACGAGTTACGAATAGGATGAAGGTTGTTCCTTGAATTTCACCATCAGTCGATATGTAAAACGAATTATTTAAAACAAATCAAATTGTAAAATATGTTTCATTTTTATTTATCTACCTGAAAAGCATTCGATTTATTACCAGGCGCCATTTGTATAAATTTTATAACATCATCAGCAGTTCTTGCGTCAGACCAAACAATAGCTGGAGCTAATGGTTCACCTGTTTCACTATTCCATGCAATCGTTGTTTCACGTTGATTTGTAATCCCAACACCAATAATATCCTGAAAATTGAGGATAGAAACGATTTGTTGCCTTATACATTGTTTTATAATGTTTCTCCGTGTTGTAATTTATTGATTTAAATGCGTAGGAAAAGATTTATAAATAACTCTTTGAAATATAATTAACCAAAGATTCTAGAAAATATTTTTTGTAACATAAAAGTGGCCTGAAATTTCTTTTTTAATGAAAATGTTGATCTGTCCCGAAACTAGAATAACCTATATGGGCTCGACATAGGGCTAGCCGCTACAACTGTACAATGAGTGCGTTTTTTTTCTTTGAAAATAATAGTAATACAGATTTAATTTTGATATAATATACCCGAGCTCCCAATCTCGGGGAAAATTTGAACCATTCTAGGGAAGCCGCTATAATAAACTTTGAGGAAATGGCACCAAAACCCCGAAATTTTCCCAGCTCTGGAGAAATTCCCCAATATGTTCCCGAAATTCCCCTTTAACCTTGGTGAAGGTCAATTGACTTTGCAGATTTCCGCGAACTTGAGAGATTGGGACATGTCATCATAATATAGCTGAAACTATTCTTCTGATATATTTTATTTCCATTCATTTGTTAAATAATATATTTAAATGTCAATATCCATTCTTTCTTAATTTATTCCAAAGTGTATCTCATTAATTCTAATGTGTACGTTATTTTATAATGTTTATCAGACTAAATAGTAACGTATAATAAAACAAAATACCTTTATTAAAGTGAATGAATTAATTTTCATTAATTGTTAGAGAGAATTTATGTACGATATTATTTTCATTTTGCTAAAAGACTACACATTAAAATTGAATAAAGAACCTATAAATATTAGTGAATGATGAACATATATAAATAATATCAAGTAGGTGAACATATAATGATTATTTGTTTTTATGAGTTGAATTTCTAGTATTCTTATTTTAAAAACAAAATAAAACGTTATGATAGATTTTATAGGCAATAACAACTGTTGAATATAAGCATCATAGTAATTACTATGAAAAACATAATCTATAGTGTATAATGATAAGTATTATTATCGTTATTTTTGACTAGCTCAGTTAGTTAATTTCTGTTTTGTAATATAGTTTACTGATGTGAACAGAGAAACAAGAAGCTTTGACAAACTACGGAAGCTATAATTGGGGACGTTATTTCATTTTATTTAAAGCTTGTAAAACAGTAATATTTATTTTTGTCCCTAGTCTGTTCTACAGATCACGAGCTTTCGTTTGATGTATGATTCACTGCCATATCCCTTTATGCTCCAAAGCTACTGTAGTTTAAACGTATTATTTTGTACTCTATTTTCTACGCAAATCCCCAGTTTTGAACATAAATGTATTTTTCTAATTATTGTACGTTGTGGTAGGGTTAGTCATCTATTTATTCATGTATCTTTTTACACTAGTCTGAAATGGGGAACCGGATCCGAATTGAGGATAAATCGAGTAGTGTTCCAGTTGTATTGTCTTCTCTCACTCTCATGCTCGTCGGCCAATCAAGTGATAGAATAGTTTTCTTCTCTTTACCCCACTTCGAACTCACGCGTACTAGCCTCAAAGTTAAACTGGTCAGCCTATCGCGTCAATGCCTTAATCTAGATTAGACAAGTTCGCCTCAGCACCAAAAGTAGGTAATCAGATCAAGGACGTAACATTTACTATTCAAAATCCACAAATCTACTACTAGACTAACTCGTTATAAAATTAGAAATTATGAAAATTTGATTGAAAGTAACATCTTAAGGATATAATTATTATTGCATAGTATTTTATAATATACCTGTTCAAATGTACGGAGAAATCATTTTAATAGCTTTGATTTCAGTAATATTTACGCTTTCTAATATATGGGCCAATGAAGACTGATGGATCTCGTAGCATTTATGTCCCGGATTAACTTCGATTAAACTACAAAATTCAATGACTTCCACAACCTCTTAAACTAAAAATTCATCTGTTGCCTACTAATAACTAACTTTGAAAAGTAATCTAGAAAATTTCATGCAATTGGTTCCCTTTATGAATTCAAATAAAGTAAGAACAAACATTGATGCAGAATAGTATGAATTCATAATATTTTGAGGTTTCTCGCCAGCTGCTTACAAACCAAAAATGTGATAGAATTTTTTACATTGAGATAGTGTAAAACAATTGACATAAATGAGTATATATATATATAGGTCAGAGGTTAAAAAAAGGGAATTAATTCAGGGTGGGTGATGTAATAGTTTGGTGAAGTTCATAAATTGTGATAATTTTAGAGATTAATGGAATCGTATAATGATAAAATGGGTTACGTAATAATAATTAAATAGAATTTGAAAAGTAAACATGATTTAAGAGGATCAGCTGGTGGAAATGTGTGTGAATGAAAAGTTGGTTTAAGAATTAGGTAATAAGGGAGTAGTATAAGACAAAATAAATATTTTAAAATAAATAAATAAATAAAATAATCAAAATAACCAACGACAACAAAAAAAAGAGAAAAAATTGGATTACCAGGGTAATAATAAGTTTATTAAAGTCTATTTTCGAATGCATAAATCCGGTTTAAGTTTTTTTATCACAATCGCTTCAGTGAAACGGATTGATAATTTTAAAAGCGTGCAAAATGTTGACGCTATACCCGGTGTCAATTAAATACCTAGCTATTGCACTGTTGAGAGCTTTGGTCTCTCGCAGCCTCAAGTTCTTCGAAACATGTTCAGAAATGCGAACATGCACTTTTCTCTCAGTTCTTTCAATGTATGTGCTTTGGCACGTCCATGTGAATTGATAAATGCAGTTGGAGCTACTAAGAAAAGAGGACTTGTCGATTTTAGTTTGTTTAAGTGAGCAGTTCGTTTGCCATACTGTCGTAAGTTTTGCTGCTGGGTAAGCCACTTTCAACGCAGAATTTAATCTGTAATTAATTAATCCGGCAATTTCATCTCCTTTGAAACGTAAATATAAGAAGCAAGTTTTATTTTTTACTCCATCGTACTTTGTCCGAGGATTGATTTTTGTATATTTCTGGATGAATTTTAATGGATATGCATTTTCACGTAGAACATTAGTGATGAGAGTAATTTCGTCATCAAGGCATTCCTTTGAACAGATTTTCGAGCGCGGTCAAAAAGGGTTCGTACAATACCCTTTTTGTAACTCATTGGGCAGAAACTATGGTAGTTGAGATATAGAACACTCCAAGTATTTTTGTGATTAATATGTCTATGTAGCGTGCCATCAGATGTTCTTCTGATCCCAACATCAAGGAAATGGAATTTGCATTCAACTTCTTGTTCCATAGTAAATTCTATGTCCTTGTGTGCTTTATTAAACTGATCGAGTAGTCTAATGGCGTGCTCATAGTTGTTACAGACGGATGACACTTTTCTCGCCATGATTACATCAATTTCATCAATATAGTTAACCATTTTTAGAATATTAAAGAGTTCTATAGGCTTTCGTTCATCAACATCACACAAACATAAAATACAGATTATAGTACTAGATATCTGAAACGTATCAGTCAATTTCGGCCAGTCAGTCAGTCATACCCAATGTACGGCCAATTAGCCGATAAAAAAATGTATAATACACATAGGTACACGCAGAAATGAAATTTATTACAGAAATAAAACATATGGTTAGATAAAACGGCCCAATCAATCAGTTTTTTGAACTAATAAATTACCACAATATCGATTTTTCTCTGTAGACTTTTCATAAATTTGGTTCAGAGAATATGAGAAAAAGGAGTATAAGAAAGCAGGGTAGTTATTCTTTAATGAACTGAATTACATACTTTTAATAAGTAAGTTCAGTGCATTCTATCATAGTCCCAATTGTGAGCTTTCCTTAGTGAGAACTAAGTTAGCGAACTGCTCTCAGGCTGCAAGTTCCTGTTTAAAAGGTGACTCGGACATACTAGAAAAAGTACAGAGGGCAGCTACCCGTGCAATTCCGGAACTCCGGTGTTTATCATACAAAGAGCGGCTCGAAAAACTGGACCTCTTTACTCTGTCCTACCGTAAACTAAGGGGAGATTTAATTTTGATGTACAGAATACTGAGTAATGATTTCGGACCTAACTTATTCTCTCTCTTTCTTCCCACTAGATCGGGACACCTTAGAGGACATAGCAGGCCAGTAGAAAAGCCAAGAACGAACAAAATACCCGTGGCATACAGGTTTTCACACCACGTCATCAATACTTGGAACCTGCTACCTGAAGAAGTGGTGTCCGCACCTTCAATTGACTCTTTCAAGAGAAGACTGGACACTCACAGAAGCATACTAGGAAAGGAATAAAATAGGCCGTATGCCTTCTGTCCTTACTACACAAATCTGAATCTGACTTACTAAGCGATTATTCAGTGTTATGGTGAGTTTGCCTTATATATCTGACAAATCACAATTTATATTGTTATAATCTGGTATTTATACTGTATAATCACGTGATATATGTGTCAAATAACAATAAAATATAATTGTAACCACACATTTTATTTTCTACTGTTCATGAAAGTGGAAATCTGAATGGACTATCGATCGTATTTCAAAAAATGGGACAAGCGTAATTAGTAAATTTATTCTTTGTCCTATAGGAATCATAATAACATGTGATTGGAATTTCTGATTTAAATGTCTAAAAATAACATCCTATTCCATGAACACAAATAAGGCACCCAATAATAAGACATTTTCATCATGTAATTTTTTAAGCATTCACTAGTATTGTCCTGTATTCATTATAGAGAGAATATATATTAATTAGTAACCATTATCTATCTCGTGTTTATTCATCGCTACTTTATATCTCGGACCAACATTGGACACCCGGTTTTCAATGTTGTTCTTACTTACAACAGTTCATGATTTCGGATAAATTTTTTACGTGGTGAATATATTGATGGTTTGAGGATGTCAAAAGAAAAACATAGTTTCCAGTTTTTACTTCGCATAATTACTTACTAAGCCTGTTTCCCCTCATGGATGAGCATAAGCAGCTCACCAGTATTCTCCATACGTCCAACCGTTACAGCTACCTCGACGTGTTGGTCGAGCTTCCTTATCGTGATGAACCAATCGAGCTATACTAGCTGGAACAACCGCTCCTCAAGGTCCTACCATGCCACACAGGTCGGTTGAAGAACGGTAAGATTAAAAGCAGCAAACCCATGGTCCGAAGGCGAAGTCGTACTGTTGACTGTACGGAGGTGTGACGGCACTTAGATATTTCACTCGGACAACCAGTATGACAGCACTGCTGCCTTGCTGCAAAGAGATAGTGAGGTTAAAAAAGTACTACACTAAAAATGCACACCTCACCTTATCCCACGAATTTCTGTATCCGGCGGTTAGGTCCCAACAAGTACGGAGCTAACACGAAAATTACTCACCAAAAGGTCGTGTGTGACCGGCTTCAATCAGTTGTCCCTTAAACACTGCGGTCACGCTCTCTGGTCACTCAGTCCAGCTCAAACCCCATTTCCTTCTCAGGAAGAACCTTCCCACGGTGTGGGTAACTGGGAAGTGATAACCGCCCTCATACTTCTAACAGAACTCACGACCACTGTATTCATAATCAACCTCCATTTTCAATTCCTATTACTCCTCCAACATCGACTTCCAACTTTAAACTTCCTCTTTTGGCTTCCTCCTCAATTATCACCATAGCCAACGATTCTAGTGCGCAAAACAGTCCCAGGTCTACTAAAACTTCGCTCCACACTACACATTGGAGTCTTCAACTTACGCATCCTATGTCAAATCGGTCTTCAGGCCTCCTTAGCTAAAACCCTAGAATCTCGTATCATTGATGTATTCTATGTCTCCAGAATACGCAAACAGGATCCTACTGTGGTTATTCACTTGACCTCACCTCGGCTTACCATGTCATGCAGTTTGAGGATCATCTCAATGTGTGTCCTATCCACTTTCAGCGTCTTTTCGTAATTTTCTCTTCAGCTGGTTTGTTCTCTCCCACAGAAGGCTGTTGTTAATGGTGTCCGGTGAACGGATATTAAGTATCTTTCGTAGACAATTGTTCATAAAGACTTGTACCTTTTTGATGATAGTTGTAGTAGTTCTCCACGTTTCAGCTCCGTAGAGTAGGACAGTCTTGACATTCGTATCGAAGGTTCTGACTTTAATATTGGTTAGCAGTTGCTTTGAGTCCCATGTATTCTTCGACTTTAGGAATGCGACCCTTGCTTTGCCAATACTCTCCTTTACGTCCGCCTTAGATCCTCGACGTTCATCGATGGTGCTAATCAGATACATGAAACTTCCAGAGTTTCTCCACCAAGTGTAATTTGGTTGGCGTTCCCTGTGTAGTATTTAAGGATCTTGCCTTTTCCCTTGGGTATGTTGAGGTCTATTGATGCAGAGGCTACTGCTAAACTGGTTGTTTTGGCCTGTATTTGTTCGTGTGTATGGGATAGAAGAGCTAGGTTATCTGAGAAGTTCAAATCGTCTAGTTGCATCCAACCTGTCTATTTCATTCAGTGTTTTTCGTCAGATGTGGAGGTTTTCATAATCTAGTCAACCACCAGAATAAAGAGAAAGGGTTAGAGTAGGCAGACCTGCCTGACACCAATCATCACTTGGAACTCATTAGTCAACTGTCCTCTATGCAGGACTTTGCAGTGTAGTCCATAGCATGTGTTCCGTATGATGTTGACGATTTTCTCAAGTACTCTGACTTTGCACAATACATTACAATAATTCTGTATGATATATTCAGGTTCCATCAATGAACCGTATTCATAAGTATAGATTGTTAGATGAAAATGCCGACAAAAAATGGAAAATATTATCAACTTTTCTATTTTTAAAGACTGACATCCTTTTGAAATATGTACTTTTCGTGGAGAAAACTGTTTATTCGCTGCTAACAAGGAGGTAGAATAAACATTTTCTTCATTTCTTAATTAATTGTAGGAATTTCCTTGATTACAATTTTTTACCCTTTACCAATAAAACGTAGAGCATATTCTTATTCTCGATTAAATCGAGGATAGCTTAAATCACGGACTGATATCGGCTGGATTATTTAAAAATATGAAGTACAGAGCGATCGGCACACAATAATCCAGGTCTCCTTTGAAACTAAGATCGTAACCCAAAAGTACAAACGCAAGACATTTAGTCATCTCGATAGCCTGGATTTATGTTAGGCTACTGAGCTAGCATTCAGCGACCACTTTTTAGCTTTAGTAAGCTTCTTCAATTTGTGATCTTAATTCATTGAAATGTAAATTTGTTGATTTTATAGATCAAGAAAAAGATACTAGGTAGGATCTCATGTAAAGTTAAAGTTTTGTGCTAATATGTTCCGAAACGATGAAATAGCTTTGGTTTTCAACGCTAATTCAGTTAATCCGGGTATGTAGTTAAATTTATTGTCAGACGATAATAAAATCTAAGTTAATGAAATGAGATACATTTAGTTGACCGAAGTATTACAGTGCTTATAAAGCACAACACTTTATTACATTTCACCGCATTCTATGACTGGTTCATATATATACATTATATGTGTTGTTACACAACAGTCATGCCAATCGTTCACAAACTAAGTTTAAGCTACAGTATTTAATAACAAGTATTTTGGTGTCTGGACAAGTATTAGTTTAACCTTAGATGACAAGCTGTTTTAAAATATTAGCATAGATTGTCACGAAAACAAAATACAGAGATTTTATGCCACGGAAACCTAAAATATAATACCTTTAAATGTTCACTAACATCAAGTTTAATAATTGATTAACTCTATGTACTGATAAGATACTAGAACTACACAGATGAATTTAGTTAAATATAATATATAAAATAAATTGGAGCATAATAACGAATTATATAAAATCTAACATACACTTACTTTAATATTTTTATCTAATGATTTTAATTGTTCTACACATTTATTTAAACATTCTAGAATTGTTGTATAAATCTGATTAGCATCCATTTCAATCCATCCAGCTGACGGATAACTTTGTGTTACACTTATTTGATGCATAGCTATTATACTTCCATTGTTGATTGAAAATATAATCACTCTTGAACTACTTGTACCTTGATCAATAGCAGCTATAAATTTCTCATTTCCATTATTATCAACCTGCTTTTTATCTATATCAGTGGGAATATAATTATCAGTTGCCATTGCGTAAAATCTGCAGATAATTTCACAAATAAATTCGACTTCTGTAAAAACGTAATTGGACATTTAGACATTATAGTATTTATGAATAATGGAACGAATAAAACGGTAAAAGTGAATGACATTTTACATTAGTAAATGTAATACAACAGATGTAGCATTCAATGTACTTTATAATATTATGAGGAATTCGACAAAAATTCTCAGGATTCTATTGGGTATTTTTCAATGTGAAATGAAAAACAAAATATTTTAAAGCTTTAAAATTTTCTAAAGAAAGAATGTGTTTGACAAATAGGAAAGCAGTAGACAATGAATAATATAAATATACCTTGTTTTATTTTCATCTTCTTTTGGTTTTATGCAAGGGAAAATCGTCTTTTAATTAGTGTTCTTTTCATCAGTAATTTATACAGCTTTATAAAATACGTCTCTATTTCAGTTTTTTGGTGACCTGTTGATAAGGAGATAACTGTACTTTCGTTCAAAAATTTAGATATATTGAAGAACAGTGGTTGCTTGCCTCTGACGGAACTCGAGTTAAAACGAATTAACAGTTTGATGTTCATTGTATCCACTGTTTTCAGTCCCTTACGAAAAGTTACATCATATTTCAAATGTAATTATTACTTACATATTTGAAAACATGAAGCATTTGAAACTGGCCAAATGTTTTGTGTATTTGACTCCCTAATTCTTTTCCTTCGTTAAATTAGGCATGTAATATAAATGAATATTCTTCTGCATGAAGTAGTGACAAAGATTATTATTAGCATTACTACTACTGGTAGTCCTAATGACAATACTATCAGTTTATTCCTCTGTACAACTACTTTTAAATAAACACTTCAATTCAGCTCTCAGTTTCAGAGCTCATATTTAATCCACTTATTTCGTCAACAGCATTTAGTATACTTTAATCATTAGAAATTAATTAAGGTTGTAATTTAGAGTTTACCAGACCCATGTTTATATATGGTTAATAATAGTCTTCTTGTTGACGTTAGTTTTCAGTGAGAACTACCTCTAAATTCTACAGAATTCTTCACAAAACTACTTAATTCGTTTTCTAAAACGAGCTTTACTCATGAAACTTACGAGTAAACGTAAATATCAACCAGATTTAAAACAAACTTTTAAATTTTACTAAAGCGTTTATCTTTATTAATAAGCTAAGCAACAAAGAATCAATGTTTTTTATAAATCTAGAATCACTCTGACTGATTATTGTAGAAAAAGTTTTAAATGGAACTCATTGTTTACGTTTTTTAAACATATTCTTCAAATGTTAATCAATTTCCATGTAAATAAAGCTTGCTTAGACGTTAAATGCAAAATATAAGTGTTTGTCATAACGACGATTTGTGAGTTCATGATTTTAAAAGTTTAATAGTTTCATTTTCAGTAATGGGGAATTTGTGGCTGCATGATCATCAAAGCATATCACAAAACAAAGGAAAGGATTACAATGAGTGCTGTCTACCGTTACTCAATGCTTAAGAAGAGCTAACCATCTTAATAGGGGACATGATTGTCAAGGTAGAGACGGACAAAATCGAATATGAAGGCAACACGGATCAGGAGAAAGGAATGAAAATAGTGAGAAATTGGTAAATTTGTGCCATCATTAACGTGATTATAGGCAACAGAAATTCCCCCAAAAAATACGAACACAAAGCTATAAAGATTTCACCTGACCACACCACAGAAAACCCGATTGACCTTGTCTGAATCATTAAACATTTCAGAAGGTCCACAAAAACCGAAAGAGCTTATACATCTTCGAGTCATTATTTGGTGATGGTCAAACTAAAGCCAAAGCTAGAGAAGAACTGGAAAATTAGGCAAGTAGCACCACAAATGTTTAACACAACCTTCTTTGGAGAGATACTGACCAGCCCAGAGAAATCAACGTAACTGTCAGCAACAAGTCCCAAACCCTACAACACCTACTAGAAGAAAGACAAACCATTAAAAAGAACAACCAAAAAGGAATAAATAAGTAATAACTTCAACATACCAGAAGGCGCTGGGTCGCACAAAGCACCAGAATAAAGAACGAGTCACTGTAAACAGTCTAGACAAGATCCAAGAGAGAAAAACAAAAAGCTTGTAATCAAAAAAAATCTAACTATGTCAGAGAAAGTCAAGATACAGGCCAAAATACATAAGCAAACAAATGAGTGATGAGAGGCATCGGAACTGAAGAGTGGAAATATGTAGAAAAATTAGCGATAAGACAACAGAAAAAGATATGAAAGAAATACACCATACAACGAAGTCACTAACAAGAATATTGACCAACTAAAAATTTATTAAAACTCAAATTCTGCCAATTAACATACCTCAATAAAACATGAACTTCAAATATTTCTCTTGTTTTTCATATCAACTATATCTTGGTAAATTTATATTTAAATTCTGTTGAAATGTCCACATAATGTTTATAGAGCAGTATATGGTTAAATAGTTGGAAGTCCAGTTTTAGTAGCAAAGAGGAGAATTCGTACATAAAAATTTATATGGTTTAGTTTTGTGATAAACAAGGTCATAAAATTTATTCGGAGCTGGATAACTGCCATTGAATTATTTTACCAAACAATATTTACTAGACGAACTCCCAAGTTTTACAATATATGTTAGAACAGAAACCCAAACTATTAGACGGCTAAATAATATCAACAAGAAGCTTTGGATTTAGATTTAATGCACTTTAGCACTCACTAGTAAGCTATATTCGAAGTATCGAGAGGACTGGTGAGGTGCTGTGGACCCGAAGCCGTTATACCTAGTTAGGACAAATGTTAGTTAAGAATAGAAAAGATATAAAATGAAAATATGAACCAGTTTGATCGTGAAGAAATTAAGGAAATATGATTAAAATCACTCTATTAAAAGTGAGACGTAACAGCATTAATTATCTCAATATTCATCGATCTTAATAACAACTATCAAAGTAGGATTAAAATGAATTTTAGTAATTATATTTCCATCTGTATAAAAATTTTAACAATATAAAATTTGAGGTTTATTTACTGAGAAAGTGTTTTTGAAAATACTACCCATCTATTTGCTAGGTAAGTCGTGAGCACATAACATATATGATTCTTTATCTGAAACGAGAGGAGCAGTTAAAAACTATGATAATTAGTAATCACATAGTTTTGTACTTCAGCTGTAATTAAACCTTTTGAATCCGGGGTAAACAAAGACAACAGTTCGATAAAATTGAATAATATATCCTAAATAATTTTATTTTCATGATATTTGAATGCTTAAAAAAGTAATAAATTTTAGAATTTAATTTTTCTATGCAGAATTAACCAAACACACTGTTAAAGTATTTCTTCTATTTTCATTTTTGAATTATTTGATGCTATAAACCGAATTATGAAAATAAACTTTGCAGTTAAATTTTCTATTGTTTGTGCAGCAGGCGGATGGAGTGTCAGATGCACGATGACAAACCTTTGGTAGTGTAGGGCTAGAGAAATGTCACTAAGCCCTAGCCAAATCATCCGGCAGTTGTGTCATTGAATATCGAGCAAATAATCGATCCTCGTCAAGGTCAGGGACAACCAACGCGCGTCAGTTAATCGTATGAGATGGACTGGCCCATGTGGCAGTGGTCTTACTTTCGCTTGTATCTACTTTAACTAATATATTACTGTAATAACGTCCTCTGTGTTGTACAGTCTTCAAAGCATCTATGGTACCTTGATACGTCAATGGGGTAGTCCACGTAAGGTGCTGACCAAGGGGTGTGACTTCGACGTTAGCTGGTTCGTCACACCATTCCCGTCTAATTCAAGCAGGTCTTCAATCATTTCGACATATATCATCTACGTTGGTGATTTACAGCAGTATCCACTCAGTCCTTCCTGCTGGTTTAGAACAGCTCAGAGAATATAACATACCGGTTTGAAGGTCAAAAAAACGAGTGAAATACTCGTGTCACACGTTTCTCCAACACATTGAGAGAAATGGCGGTAGCACCTTGAATTGACCCATTCGGGTCAACAACTTGGCTGGGTACCTTGTCGGCAGATTTACGGACGAAAATATCTTGCCACTAAACTAAGAGAAACTGAAGAATTCAGTACAGTAATCTTAATAATATTTCAAAGATATACATTAAAACAGAAAAAAGGGTTTCTGTACAATTCCATTGACATGGATGTGGGTGAGATGCAGGCTAGAAACAGCCACGCTCAATATCCTAAATCTTGCTTGCTGGACGCATTTATCTCACCAGTTACCAAGTAGGCGTGTTTTCTTCAAAGATGTCGATAAACTAGTTCGACACAATTGGTTGCGTTGCCCTCAACGTCCGAGTCTAGGCGTGTAGGCAGTGCGTTAGCGACCGAGTGAGTCACGTATCCAGCTGCAGTAAATGCTTAAAATCGGATAAACATTATGCAGCTAATGACTTTGTCTGATGGGTGTGAACATCTATAGAAATTTTATATCGGACTATCAAGTTTGCAGTTTACTTTGTCATGTGAAGAGGAACTGCAAACGTTAGACACATATCTTCAGCAAAAGGATATGAGGGATAAATTTGTAAGTCAACAAATTGCATGCAATTATTTATTCTCATCCCAGATGGCCATGCTGATGCCGTTAACGGATGACAATCTGATTACATCCACGCGCTATATTTTGTCATATGTCATGAAACCTGGAGTTACCAGTCATTTTACACTACTCAGAACTTCATCAAAAAGAGCACCTTAGAAGTGAGGGTTTTACGGGTACATACAGAGTAAGGATTTTTTCCAACTACTAGATGCACTAACATATCGGTTCTTGTCTTTATTCGTCAACAAAAGACAGCTTTCTAAACTGAATGATATCGCAACGCAAGAATATTTCCCCGATGAGATAAAATACAGAAAAACCATCGACGAAAACAAGAACATACATGTGTTAATTTGAAGTTATAACTATTCACTGCTGTTCTATAGGCAGTGTTCAGTATTAGCAAACATAACCGTAATTCATACTTCAAGTCAACAGTTTTTTTTTAACAAATTACAGCAGTTTGACTTTGTTGTAAATGTTCATGTTCATTAAATTTCAGAATTCACAAGGAGATTATTTCGGCTGGCAATAGTAACACTGAAGTTAAAGAGAGACGTTATAATTGAATTGTTCTTTTATGTTTAACTACGTTATTGTTAAAGCGCTTCCTTATCCTGTGCAGAAATTTCTCACTGGCATTTGAAATTTCAGAACAAAGTGTATGCTGCGTAAGCCTGTTTGATTTCATATGCACGTATAAATAACGATACATTCTTTACTAATAACCCATTATCTATGATTTATCTTCCGAATCTTTACAAATGACATTAGGACTAGGCACTTAAGACAACAATACATAACGATCATTGCTCAAGCATCTGTCCATTATGAATATCCATATACAATATGGTAGTTTTTGCTTGTTAAAACATGTATTTAACCATGTACTACTCTTCTAACGTAATCGATTGCGGTCGTCGTGTGGTTTGTTATGAAATTCGAAGCAAATATATGAGATATTTGACATCAGACCATGAGGTGAACAAACAAATGTGTAGTAAAATGTTACGCGAGTAATTGAGCGAAAAATTTCAAACAGCGACGAAACGAAATTCCGCATCAAGGACAGTAGAAGACATTCTACGGAACTTTATCAGTTGAGCAATTATCACTGAACAGAGAATTACTATTACAATGAAAATTAAACCCCAAAGTACGACCGAATAAATTGACAATTAGTGGAGACAATCCTCTCTCATCTACTGTGATCTTCAGAAGGTTAAACTTCTGATTTCTGAGAAACTTTTGAGAAGCCGCCATAGAAAAAATTTAGAGCATAAAGTGGCACAAAAACCTCAAAATTTCTCCAGATCAGAGAGAATTCGTTAAACGTTTGTGGATTTTCTCAAGAGAGGACTGCTAAAAGCAAAATATATAGTGCCACTTGAAATTCAAAAAAACAGATAAAAAGTCATGAAACATCCTTTGAGGGTGCTAGCTAATAAAAATCAATCTTATCAGAAAGTTAAATTACTCAACAAAATCGCGATTCAAAACAACCTCGAAAACATATATAAATGAAGACATTGTTTAAATTTTCGCTCACAATTATCAATATATTCTGACAACAAACTAGTACAAACCGAAAAATCTTTCTACTTGAAAAAGAGACAAGAAAGTAAGTAAAATAATGAATTAAAATAATTAAGTAGATAAAATGGAAACAAAGAAATTATTCTTCTAGGTCTGTGTTCTTGTGTGACAAACTATTTGAATGCAACGGCAAAACTAGTAAAAATTCCATCTAACCACCTTTTTCTGCAAAACTGGAAGCATCGACAGTAAATACTCATGCTTTTTTTTCGTTACATTCAGTTTATATCATTCAGTCTGAATTTTTCTATTATTTGCAACAGGCGTGTGTTGGTTAGTGTATGGTCTAGGGAAATGCTATAAACAAACCCGAAAAATTCCGGTCGATTACTAACTAATTCAATAATAGATATCCGAAGTATGTAACAACAAAAAACAGGCATATTTTAAACAATTACAAACCTCTTGAAATTTCCTGCAAGTAGTCATTTCCTTTGAACAGAAATACGTGTCATAGAAATTCGTCTGGATCGTTCATTTTCTATGTATTCAGTGACTTTCTGGCGGCATCTTGTCATCTTTCCCAATATAAGGGGTCTTCTGGTTCAATATGACGTTTAAAAAAAACGTACAACGAAGATTTCTATTCGTCGTATACCCAACCTGTTTTTCATCTTTTTCAGCCAACCTGGAATAAAATTGTGAATTTATGTCAAAGTGCACTAATTAGTGCGGAAACGAAACTTAAGAAAAGGGAGGAAAACTATCATATATGTGACGTAAAAAATAATCACGTTTTTGAACTTTTTATTAAAATTAAAATCCAATGTTTGTGCATAATAAAAAGTGTCTGTTTTTCGATTCAACAATACAAACAAACCAAATAAAATAAATTGTTACACAGTGTCCTACTAGCGGTTGTTGTTTAGGTTATACAGCCATCCTATAACTAATTCCGATTCTGGTTAATTTTGATTAAGCCTTTTATCAACTGAATTAACTTACAGTATTATTAGAACAGTAACAATCCGTCTATTTTTTGACAGACTCTATCTAAAAGGTTGCTTGATTAAATATTTCTCGATGATTCACCCCCCTCCGCATGTGTGTATATACTCAAATCCTATTATTAGCTCTTGTTTTGCTCTTATGCGGTCTGACTATAAATTTGCCTCTGTATTTGCTCGCACATACATATTCACCTGTCTGTTTTAAATTTATTTGATGCGCTTATTGTTATAACAGGTCAGCTGAATGCTACTCGTTATATCTGATCGTCGCTGATTGCAATGTCGAAATCGATTTTTGCTTGTAATTGTAAAAACGAGGAACCTCTGTGATTTCCACGATGCGAAAGCAAGGACACAAAAACTTGTATAAGTGAAGATTCATTAACCCCAAAACACGACGACGACCCTAGTAGAAAATACACTCATTTATATATTTATTGTACACCCATTTTGACTAATAATTAAGATGAAGTCACACCTATATCAAATCATATACTGAGCATAGTTCATATCCATTGGATACAAGAATATCCTAAATTACACAGAATAAAATATAATACGAGAAAACAAAACACATACAACAGTGAGTATTCATTACGTTGAATCAAAATGGAAGTAATGTTGAATAAAACTTGAAAAAAGTAAATCAATCGAAAATTATCTTTTTTCTTTCCATTATATCACTTATAGCTTTGTTATCCGGGCTATCCTCCGTTAAACTATTTTTGCCGCATCGAATTACCTTCTGATTTCAAACATCATTGAGATTTATATCATAAGTGTTATCGAGGTGATTGGTTGACGAAACAAAGCCACTTCAACGTATTCTGGAAAACTTTTCTCCCAGAGCGCGTTGTTTTGGGATGGTTGCCATATAGTAATGAAGTCTCGTAGTGACTGTTGACTACCGGTTTGGGAATCGCAAATGTGAGATCAATGTCGCTCAAGTGTAAAGAAGAAAAATCAACATTTATATGCTTTACTTCTGAATACGCGGCTTCAAGTCGATGGATGCTGACTTCAATGGGTCATTGGAACGCCACTTGGCGGGGTCGTCGTAATGAATCACGATGCTCGATATCATGTAAATTATGTCATAAAGCGGGTTGGTCCGAAACCCCGGTTGGCGCGCATCATTTGTTAGGAGCTTAGATACGTATAAGTGGAGGAAATTGAAGGGTAAGAGTTGTGGTATTGTCTCGTAAACAGATTGTCCTTTAGTGTACTCAGCGTCAGCTATCACTTTATTGCGAATACCGATTGACACAAATGAGAGATTATGGATCCAGAGTTTCGCGTTTACAGCTGAGAGAGAAGCTTTCAACTGTCCATGAAATCAATCTTCCAACCTGTGAGCTTGTGAGTGTTATGTGATCTCTTGGAAACGCATGATTTCTAGTTGTCTGGTCAGAAAACAGATAAGTCCAGATTCAGTAACAATAGTCGAAGGAAAGCAGAAGTTTGCGAAGACGCGTGTGACCGTCCCAGCAGTACTATCTTTAATGAGTACAGCTTCTGGTCATATTGCAAAAGGGTAAGAACTAGTTGGGATACATGAGTGTCCATTTGAACCCGTTAAGTGTCCTAACAAAATAATATGGAAACGGTAGAAACTGGCGTCGGGAAAATAGTATGAGGGACATTTGTTGTGTCCAATCACCTTACATTCATGGCAGCTTACGCGGCTGCCTACGCGTGCCCACTTTGTCTCATCCAGTTGTCAGGATTCCCGAAGGGAGTATTTGTCTGAAGGTAGACTCAGAGGAAACTCTGGGCGGCTTGCGGTCGGTGATTATAGTGAATTCCCGACCTTCCGAAGAGTGCTGAAAGTATCATGCAGCACGATACATGCCCAAGAGTTCCCTACCGAAAGTACCACTCTAAAACTAAGTGCCTTACGACTATCTTAAAAAAATATCAAAGGTTGTCAGGTTTTGTATGTTGATTGTCGTAATGACCACTATTATTGCCAAGTCGGATGTGTCCAGTGTGACACCAATGAGTGCTTTGGTTTCCTGATGTGCGAGCAACGTTGTGTTAGCGATAATTTTTTAAATATGAAGAATCTGTCTTTCCCATTGTCGTCCGAACTGGTAATATTTTCATTACCTCAAAATTGATCTGTTAAGTGAACCATGAAAGAAGCTCTATTTGAGAGGAACTATCGACAAATACGTGGGTGATTGCTAAGATGTAATTGGTTCTAGGTAATCCCGAATGGACACCACTATGGTTTTCAGTAAGAGGATGCCTTGAAAATCAAGTGTGTCTTTGAAAATCCATCTATTTGGTTCCGATTTGGTATTTCTGAATGTTAGCAATGAAGTCATAATTTTGAAGCCGTTTGAAAACAAGGCACAGATACCACAAATGAAATCCTCTGTCCGAAGGTGCAATCCTTCAACCATCAGCATACACGTGCATGAAGGTGATACCTCTAGATACGTCATCAATGACTCTTCAGAGAGTTTGTGCAGTACGTCCTGAACCGGAAGGTTTGAGCGAAAATCCGTGATGATGGTGTTTATACGAGTGTCATTAGCAGCCGTGAGAATTTAGTTACAGTCCTTAACAGTGTCAAATTTTGAAAACAACACAGTCGTATCGTTCAAGCCGGTTGTCGGTTCGCGAATGTGAGACAATAGATATTGATCAGGAGTGACTTATGAATTCAGTCGCCAATAGTTACCTTTTGAAAGCTTCCGGAAATACAAGTTGTCATGAGTCGAGATGAAGTAGGTAAGATTGCTTGTTACACATATTAGTTTCCGTCGCGCTTTGTAAAGTTAGAGATAACTGTTGGAAATATGGATCAATTGTACGGCTAATAGTGACTTAGCATAGAATACAACTAACAAACAAATTTCAACAAACAGATAATATAGTGCTTCCGTCTATTAATCTCTGTTTACACGTATCGACGGTTAGATTATGATGTTGTGACAGCTCTATGCAGATGATCGGCGTGAGAGCATCTGCAAAAACATAAATCAGAGTGACACCATCACCACTGACTGGATTATCCATACAAGGAAAGACTCATAGGTTTATTTACACAGAGCTGACAAACCTACAGCATGTTGATACTTCTACGTACGGCGACAAACAGTTAATTCCCTTGATAGGGAAATAATCGGGCTTGCGGGAAAATCACAATACGAAAAACTAACGAGAAATCGGGCACTTGAGACATGAATCATATCAAACAGGGCGGGGAGAATATAGTGGTAGGTAGAGTGATGATGTTCAGCAATTGAGTAATGGAGCTAGAGGAAAACTTACGAATGTAGACATGAGCAATTGGAGTTATTTTTAATGTGCTACTGGAGAAAACGTGGTGATGTGATTGTGGGAAATGGCAATGAGTACATCAAATCACTTACTAGATTATCACCAACACAATCCTTGAGCAGAACTCGAAAATATGTTCATTAGTGAACGAACACCCTAATACACCCCCCTTTCTTTCTCATTAGGAGTTGACCACCTTTAAAGTGCTTTCGCAACCGAAGCGATTACAGCCTTTGTACCGGACAGCGTAAAAAGGAGACTTGACAGGCACGTACACAACCGTGGGTGGCCATCCTACCTCTTGAACCAGATGTAGCTAGTGAATGTGTAGCGGTAAATGCATCTTCGAAATAAATATATCTGCAAGCCTCTTAATTTGATGCCGACCTTATTAATTTGACTAGACCCACCCTAGCTAAATGCGATTGGTCACATAACCTCACCACATCATGGGTATGTACGCGGTGCTACTCATTTCTTTCAACTATTTGCCAGCTTAGATAAACGCTTCTCAGCATATTGACGTTCTTCCAAAAAGCTTCGAACTCATTCGCCCCTGACGTTTGATCTTACTAGGTTGGTATCTTCCGACTATAAAGATGTTGGGAACAAGAGCGTTGTTAAACCTTGAATGTGGCATCTCTAGATGACTAGTAACTTACTATCTGTTATCATCAACACATATCATTAGCTTGTTTATATCACGCCTATGATTATTATTATTTCCGTTTCTCTTTTTGTTCCTACGCTTCGATCTTCTCACACCACCTGCTTACCAATTAATTAATTTGTTTATTTGATTACTTCGTGAAATAGTCGTCAACTCTTAGCTTTCGAAGTTTCACTTTATTATTTATTTGCAGTGCGACCAAGCAACCTTCTATCTGTTTAGGTGACAGCCATTGGTATCCAGAAACTCTACTGTGCAGAGACAAACCCACTCGCATATATTGCAAAATTCACAAACACACAAATAACTAACAAACTGGTTAGGATAATTGAAACTAAGTGGCTAGACTTCCATGCATCAGACATTGCACAGGATTTTGAACCGTAAAGAATTGCCAATAATAGAGTGCAATGAAATCAGTCAGTTCATAAGAATATTGGAAATATTGCTTATTGAAGGTCACTTTAATCCCTCTCCGCTTGATCATAAGTTTCGTGACGCATTTGAATCTCGTCGAAGCTTGATTTTGGTTGTTAGCTTAATTTGGTTTTACACTTACGCGATTGTAAATTATTAGTAACTGCATCCATTTTAACATGTTCGGGTATCCATGTGTTTCTGAGTTATGACTGAAGCTTGTTGTAATATGCATTTTGCTTGATATTACATCTCTACACTGTAATGTCCGATTGCAATAGAATCCGAGCTAAAGATTGAGTTTATTGCCTTGATTTAAGGTTTGACATGTGTTATATATAACAAACTTTTCTCTCACCCCAATCAACGAACAAAGAGGAACTGCCTACTTTTCGCCTAAATATACGTCGAATTGCCTACTTTCCGTCTAAATATACGCCGAATCGTCTACTTTTCGCCTTAATATATTCTGAATTGTCTACTTTCACTTAATCCCAAAGGTCCATGTCAGCCTTTATTCTTACAACACACCACACTGAAACTGCGATCCGCGTGAAAAATGGCTTATGTTTAAATAAGTTGATTAAAAAGAAGAAGCGTATTATTATACAACATTAATGCCATTTGGCAGAAGCTTGAGCATGAATTTTTACTGTAATTGCCAATTCATTGTTATTTGAAAAGATCTACAAGAAAATAAACAGGATGTATTATTAATAAGGCATGTGTACTTAATTGCAAGTTCACGGAAAATCAAACAAACTTTCCCAACACTTGAATAAAGTTCCCCATGAAAGTAAGAAAGTAAGCTCATTTAAAAAATGTTTATTGAGAAATAAGTTGAACATAAAAAAATATTCCACGGATTACTGTTAGCCACTCCTTATATAAGAAGGAGTTATAACTGTTATGTTTCAAAACCGAAATATAGTTTCATTAGCTGTGTTAAAAAACATGTCCTTTGTGATTTTCTTCATTTATTATCATGAATCACTCATGTTTGTTCGGAGATTTCTCAGTCTTGGTTTAGAAGTAATCCAAGTTTGATTTGTGAAGTGAACTACCATAAACACTTAAATGTTAATCAAATTAAAGTTTACCAACATTTCGTCTCATATTTGTGAACGGTTAATCAAGTGCTTTCCCATCTATCGACTTGGCGTTCCGACGTCGTGAACAAAAACTCGACTAACATTTAGTGTTAAGAATTGATCTACAACTACAAGGGTAGCTCTTATTCAACTCTAAGAGTAAGTTTGGTCAACGAGATTCAAGACTGAGTTCCATAAAATCTTCCACCATTGCTAAAATCTTTGAATCGCGTGTTTCTTTACATATCATAAGGGTGTGTTTATAGTTACAGTATACATAATGCTCCCTACACAAAACGCAACATTTATTTCAGAATCGTCTCCGCGTTGTTTTACGTCTTACAAGCACTCACAAGCGGCTCGTTAATCGATGGTTCCTAATGTCACTCCAAATCTTGCGACTGATAAATAATTCTACCACTTCGTGTCTAATGATTTAGTTGAACGCGTGATCATCTGTACAGTACCCGCTCAATAATACAATGCAACCCTGTTTTTGCATCAGTTTTTGTTGTGTCCTGTGAACTAACTCCTATCACGAAATTACTGTTTAAAGTTCACACCAGATTTTAAGTTAAAACATGGTACTATGAAATGTCTTTTGAAATGTAAAATTTATTCTGAATATTAGGATATTTCTTCCACACTGACCTTTGTCACGACGTTTGTAATTTGATTTGTGTTTTATTCTAAACGATAAATCAACGTGGCCACGTTCCACATTTTTAAAGTTAACGTTTTTGTTTTAGACAGCTTCACCTGACTAAGTGCATTCACTATAGAGGAAAGCTTTAGCGATGGATAACTACCAGTCATTGTTACCAATTTTTGCAGCAGTTCTCGCGGTATGGAGTATTTTACTTGGAATGTCTTTTCATCAAATCGATGAAGGTTAGTACTCTAATAAAAATTTATAAATACAGGTCATGTTGGTGTCTATTACCGTGGTGGTGCTCTACTGTCTCAGACCAACGGACCCGGTTATCATCTGATGATTCCCATCATAACAACATACAAACCTGTTCAGGTATGAATTACAGTTTTTCGAGATATTTCGTTTGGCAGATTACTTTACAAACTGATGAAGTAAAGGATGTTCCTTGTGGTACAAGGTAATTTAGTAAAAATTAATCATCTTGATTTGTCTTATATAGCTAAAAGCTAAACTGTGTTATCAAAGTGTTGCTCGATTTAATCAAGTTAATCATTGAGCACTGATGTCCGAGATTCTCGCTATCTTAATACTATTTTGAATCCCAGCCAACTAGTAACATTTGTGGGCGCTATTCTGTAAATAGCGTTAACCAACGTATTAAAGCTTTAAGAACTGTCTATTTTTAATACTCAGAATACTTCAGGAACTATCGCATCTCCTCTCAAATGTGCTGCAATTAAGTCTTATAATCGTAACAGCCACGTTGACTTGGTGGTCATGCTTGTTTATTGTCGTGGTATAATTAATATTTTATGTTCCTAAATAGTGAAAAACGTTTATAGAGGACTAAGGTACATCTTAGCTGTGTTTTTATTTAGATCTTCATCACTGTCCTGGGTGTCATTATGTGACCTTGAAAACTTCATGTTTTATGTGACCTGGTATCCTGTAGTACCAGACATTTTTGGTTGTAACTAGTATCGAATTCAGTTACGTTACGAAAACAGCTTAAGATGGAGTTGAGGTTTAGCGGTCAAACTTCACAAATTTCGGGTCATAGCTACGAACTTTGCTCTAAGTACATATATGTATGCATTATCGTTCGACCTGATATAAAAAATAAGACTCAAACCTGAAAAAGGAAATGTAAATTTTCTTAGTATTCCGTTTTTCCCTTGAAGTCTGACCATGATAGTAAATTCAGTTAAAAAGCAATGAAAGCTAAACCAAAAAATCTAGAATTCAATGTCGTACTCTTGGTCGGTTAATAAATTAATCCATTTATTTGAACACAAATATTTATACAAATGGGCACCGAGTACATATACACCACACAAGTTACTTGATTTATGTGTGGGCTGTGATACTGCTTGTATACTCAGACCGAAGCAGGCGGTTTTCTTAGGAGGCCACACCCGGAGCCTTCGACATAATGGTCTGACCCACAAAGCAGTGGAGCATCGTAAGGAGATGCAGTCCCATGATAGCCGGTGACCAATAATTGGTTCATACGCCATTTGTCTTCTCAGGATAGTGGGGCCCATGTGCTCCATCGGTTTGAAATCAGGGTTTTCCAACTCTAGGTGAACTCTCCGTGTCCACCAACCCGGTTAAAGCGCCGGACATTCGCTTTTCGTCCTCTCTATTTTGTAAACAACAATAATGCCGCGAGAAGACAGTGAGTAGGACTTCCCTGACAATAGCCGTATACGCGTGGCCATGTGAGAGCATTTTGAGAAGAACTGACTCTCCTCATCCTTGGCCGTACCAGGGCATTTAGTTAATTAAAATAATGATAATATCTTTCCTTAAGTTACTGACAATCTGTGATTCGGTTTGCAAACTGTAGAGTTTTCATTTTAGTTAATCGGCGTAAAGGTTACCGATGTTTCTAAACATTAGATTTTTGAGTTTGAAATCAATTACGATAGCACGTACTTATTTACCGTGCAGCGTTTTTTCTACTCGATGCTGCTTTCCTCCGACCACTATCCTCTCCTTAATATATTGGTGTTCCTTTTTTTAGAATGCAACCTAAATGACATAATTATTGTACCATATATATATATATATATATATATATATATATATATATATATATATATATATATATATTATCTTGGGAGTTTCGTCAGCTCTTGTGGTCTGATGTGTGACGAAATCTCAGCGCGGATACAGAAGGCTCGACTAGCTTTTGCCAACTTGCGTCATTTATGGCGTAGGGGAGATATCCATTTATCAACTAAAGGACATGTTTACTGCGAAGCAGTTCGTTTCGTCCTAATTTATGTCAGTGAAACATGGCCGGTAAGAGTAGAAGATATTCTTAGATTACTAGTATTCGACCATAGGTGTCTTCGAAACATTACTCGTATATCGTGGGACCACCGAGTAAGTAATGCAGTTGTTAGAAAACGGGTACTGGGTATAGATGGCAAACCTATTGGTGAAGCAGTGAAACTTCGTCAATTGAGTTGGCTTAGATACGTGTTACGTATGCCCAACCGACAGCCCCCCACGTGCGATGTTTCATGGTGTAGGAGTAGGTTGGAATAAATATAGGGGCAGCCAAACCAAAGCATTGCACAAATTCATAAAGTTACTGTCAAGAAGACTGAGTCATTTTTATAGGTGTAGATTACCTGGTTGGGTTTTACGAGACGACAGCAATCGATGGTTAGAGATATGTCGCAAAATCGTTTGCAATGGCGCAGGTGCATCCACTCTTTGTGTTCTCCAAAATTCTTATCTTCTGAATTCTTCATGTCCTTTTTTTCGCTTTCCAAATTTATTTCACTGTATTATACTCCTTGAATAACATCTTGAAATACTAATGTTACCGATTGGTACTTATACTTTTACTACCTCTACCGCTATAAGATCAGAATGGACAATCGTATGTGTGTGCTAATGTGGTATGGCAACTTGAAGTGATGAACGTACGTACGAAGTACCACATTGTTACTGACTGATATATATATATATATATATATATATATATATATATATATATATATATATATATATTATATATATATATAATTGTAAGTAATAGGAATTCGTTAAGATTCCGATTTACTATAATTAGTATTACCTTGCGGTGAAATATAATTATATGACTCAGTTACCAATAAAGCAACCACTCATCTTCAGATTTTGCGGTTCGGAAGACTTGATCCTTTCTGTTTTTATGCCCCATAAAATATTCCTGATGAAAACTACTTGTGAAAGGTTTTCTGGTGAAAACCACCTAATCATTCTGTTTTACTATTTCTAAACACTATTGGGAAATCTGTCGCTACGTCTTATTTTACAAGGTTTGTAAATATTTTATCTTTTATTGATCTCATAAATGGTACTGTTTACATATTGTTTGCATATATACGTTCATCTGATCATTCCTTTAAAAAAAATCATTTTCTGTGTTGTAAATTTCCGGTTTTATGTTTAAAATTCATTATGTAACCAGAAAATTAGTTTTGAAATACCAGTACTTGTGTACACTTTGAAGCTGTTGTAAGCTTTCATTCTCGAGTTGATTTAATTAGTTGTTACAAGTCTAAGTTTTTCCTTCTAAAATGATGACCGAAGTAAAGCATAATCATGGTTATTATCTAATGACCGATTGAAGTATGTTATTTTTATTATATAATGAGTTATTTTCAATCTAAAGAACACTAGGCGTAATGTCTTTATGTGTAGTAGTTAACTCCAAAGTTCCAGTTAATTAAGATAATATATTCTCACATAAGTAGAAGGTACAATTTTAAATAAATACAATACATAATTTTCAGGTGCTCTGAAGATTCTCTTGTAATTGCCCAGTATTTATTCATACTATATTACATCAAACAAGCGATTTCAGATGTCTAACTCCGATACGATACGTGGGTTGTTAAACATACTGACGATAGTCCATTTATATTTTTACTCATTTTATTGTACTATTAAATTAATTAATGTATCTTCATTGTCTGTCTTTGTTTCCTATTTTCCTTAATATAACCAGTGGTGGTGTTGTCATTTATTTTGATCGTGTTGAAGTAGTCAATTATTTGGCGGCTGAAAGTGGTAAGTTCAATGGTTTTACTTTTTTAGTTAGTCTGTTTCGTTCAATAAATTGAGAATCTAAGGCACATCTTTTGACTCTCTAAACGGATGCACAGTATGCACAAGGGTTTCAAGTATTTTTAGCAGTGTTGGACTCTGATCCAATTTAGTTAGTTTTATTACACTGCCTAAATCGACTAAGAAAATTAACGGTTTTAAATCTATTAAAATGTAGTAACAATCCAGTTTAGTTGTTCACTAACCATCAATCATAAGTAAATTGCTGCTAATCGATTTGGTACTTTTAGACATGAGCTTGGTAAATTCGTGTGAATCTACACTAAGCTATTATCAAATGATATAAGTGAAGTTGGAAAGACATTCCAAATATAATTATGATACGGTTTTAAGATTCTTCGGAGTTTTGTTCACCGTAGTGATTAGGTGTAACTACAGTATCAATCTATAGCATTTGATTTATGGTTCAACAATAAATCATTTCGTAATTGTACATTTTTGATGACTTAGAAAGCCGTCTCATGAAATTTTGACTCTTGCTAAAGTACATTCAATCCACATAAAATAGCCGAGTAATTCTATAGACTTCAAGAATTTATAGATTCACTAAGTAATAACGGTACGTGGCTTACTAACAACGATCAAATTGATGTTGAAAATATCAAACTAATTCGGAAAGATTTTACAGTTATAAAGGAAAGAGAACGACTGAAACTTTCCATGTATTACTAAACTCAGCTACGCTCAGTACAAAGGAAGTTTTAGCTGTCCATTTAAGTTGAACCATTTATCCAAACAGCTATCCTTAATTTATTTTGATCTTACACCATTAGCACATATTCTACTTTTCTTAGTACAAATATCGCATTTTTCACAAATAAGATTATATCTTATGTAAAATCACCTTTACCCAAATAACGTGTTTGGATTTTACTACTGTTTAATTAATTGGTATATTTTAAAAAAACGTTAAACAGAGTTGGATAGTGGTTAGCAGTGGAATATAGGACATCCATCGCGTTCTGTTTGTGATATCAGCTAGATGTGCTTGCACCTCAGTGTTAGTATTGACACCGGGACTCCAGTTCAGTATCTTTCACTTCAAGTACTCAACGCATCATCCATGTAGCTACTGAATCAATATAACCAGTAACTTATGCAATCGATATGAATCTTCCCTTTGATATTAAGAAAAGCAATGGATTAGTCTCTCTTGACATATGTACATTATGTGCGGATTCCAAGTACATCCGACTGACAAGTCACAAATAGGAAGAAAGGAGCTCTCTCTATTCGATTGCTAACTATTATTCAACTTTGCTTAATATGTTATAGATGGCTGCACTGTCAAGACAATTTTCATATATACCATGATCAATTGCAGTTCTTACCATTAACGAGAAGATTCAAGCAACCTTCACAAATGAGTTATTTTAAAATTGCTCTCTTATTATGCTAAGAGTTATTATTTTAAGTAATACATGTTAAAACAGAACTCATGCACTAATCGCTAAACTGATATGATTGACTGCCTTAGTCGTCATATGAAATTTCGACAACCATTTTTTTAGAATGTTTTCGTAAAGATATTTAGTTAGTGGAAAAACTATCTAATTATGTAATCCATTTTTGTCTGTTTCTTCTGTTGTTCATTCACTTTCTAGTTCATGATATTGTCAAGAATTATACAGCTGATTATGATAAAACACTAATATACAATAAAATTCATCATGAACTAAACCAGTTTTGTAGTATACATACTCTACAAGAAGTATACATTGAATTATTTGGTAAGTTTTTTTTATTTCTGTAATTTTCGAGACATTTTTTGTTTGAATCTTCTTCCGTTAGTGATACTGTCTATAAGACTTCAAATTATGCAGTTTTTGTATTATTTTCGGTAATAAGTGATGGTTCTGAAATATATTTCCCCATCGACCTCTTCTGTTATCTATTTGTCTATTATCGCCTTTAGTTTGCTATTTTTGTTGTCTCGAGGTTGTTTCTGCCATATAGATAGAGTTGTTGTACTACAAGTTTGACTTTTGTTTGGAATAGTAAATCACTAATGTGAGATTTTTAAGGACAACAGGTATCAGTGCTACACGTGGTTTCACAATAGCTCTAATAGATATATTTGTTGACAGCTGGTGAGCGAACTAACAGGCATAACCAAAATAGAACCTGGCACATGTGCTCTTTGGTCCAAGTTGGCATACCTAATTAGTGAAAGAAGATTGGAATAGCGAGAGAGATCGGAATAATGTAGAACCAATGTTAAAAAGAATGATTAAACCTTGAGAGCATATTTTTAAGAGACAGAGTAAAAAGATACGTATAAAGTTACTGGGATTCAATATCGAAAGGAATGTAAAGAGTAAATGCATCTGTGCCATCGCAAACGACTTTGAGCCATGTTGCTCGAAGTCTTCAATCACTGATTGCAGTTGTCACACGGACTCGAACTACATGCCAATATGCCTCAGATAAACAGTCAGTCACTTTTTGGTTTGACCGCCCTTAGCTTTCTTCTAACCTACTTCACTTTCAACCATCATTCCCTGAATCACCACTGGTTTACAATGACAGTTTATCAACTCATTTAATTAAGCCCTTTTTATAACCATTAACGTGATTTAAGCAGCATTTACTTGCCCCAGTTTGTTCACTTTTGTTTAAAAACACAAACTCAATGGTGTATTTTATATTCATAGACTGTTATTTTATAGTTTTTCGTTTGCTTTTCATACTTCTAAAAAGTGTGTGACAAAGAAACTACATGATTTTATTTTAATAGATCAAATAGATGAATTTTTAAAGCGAACATTGCAAGCAGATCTAATTTTAATGGCTCCTGGTTTATATATTCAAGCGGTACGAGTTACAAAGCCTAAAATTCCTGAAGCTATTAGACGCAATTATGAAGCTATGGAGGCTGAAAAAACAAAACTGCTAATTGCTGAACAACATCAAAAGTTAATTGAACGAGAAGCTGAAACTGAGCGTCGTCGTGCAATAATTGGTAAGTTTATTATTTTCTTCATATTATTCAACTCCCAAATACACATGCGTTTCGATAATGCAATGAGAAGACAAAGTTTATCATATTTATGTGATATATTTGCGCAATACATTTCGAACAATCTGATCACACATATACTTGTTAAGACATTTTAATATTAAAATTTAAAGGTCAACTAGACAGGTTATAGTTAAGCCGTAACAAAGAAAATAATAAAGTACACAAAAACAGTGTGATAACCACTGTGGATAATAAATCACTATTACCAGGGTAGGTTAAGGGCAACGACAAATTGTTTTTGAACGCATAAAAAGGGTTGCAGTCTCGAAATTTATCAAAGGGACTAATTGTTTTAGATTTCTGAAAAGAAAACTCCCTACACATGAGTTTATCAATTTAAAAATGCGGATTTGTCTTTTATTTAGTGGCTTCATATCATTTCTACTTGAATTTATTTCATTTGTATCATACAGGTCTCCCCAGTTTAGAACTCTAATCTACTGAGACAATGGTTTGGATTCGTTTTATTTTTATGTATTCATTGTTATTCAGTGTAAATCATGTTGTCACCACTATATTATAACAAGTGATAAACTACTCATGTTTTCAAATTGCTGTGACTCAAAGTCTGTAGACTATTAGATTTAATTTTTAATAGTTAGTTAATATTATGACATCATATGGCACACTTTCGGAGTTAGATATTTATGGTCAACCTGTAGAATCCATACAGATATTCTTATTTAACAACCGAGTTGCACATAAATATTCTAAAGCTAAATGTTGACATTTTCTGGAACTTCGTTAGTGTAATAGCTGATCAAATAAACATTGACAATTTTCAAACCTTAAATTCCAGTGTTCACGCATCACTTGCTCAATGAAAAGCATAATCCTTTCTACAAATAAAAAAAATCAATCAGTACATGACTGTTTAGATCGATAGTATCTCTAATTAAAGACACAGATTTATCTTCTACATTTCAGAAAACATATTAATCATTTAATTTTAACAAATTTCCATAAAGTAACGTACAGAATTAAACCAAACTAAGAGAAACACTTACGAATAGAAAAGTAAACTGAAATGTATCCGTATGATTATAACAAAATAGAATAAATGATTTATTGTAACAGAATAATACAACTTGTAACGATAAAATTGGGAAAATAGTTAAATATAACTCTAAGAACTGTTTATTGATAAGTCAAATTATGAGTAAAATATGACATGAACTCTATTTTGCATCCGATTAACATCAACTAATGAAATTTTTTATTCAAAAATGTCTTCCTTAAACTTTAAAAACTTAAATGAATCATCGGTCTGTATTAGTCTTTTTGATAAATTAGATCGTTATTCCACTTTATCAAAGTTTTTACAACAAAGAAATTGTTTCTAACCAGTTCATTTTCAAAACATTACAATCATATTTTCATATACCACCGTATTAATTTATAAACAAATTCTATGTTGATTACACAGAATGTTAAAATGGGTATTTCTGACGAAAAGAAATAAATAAAACACAAGATTTATTAAGCATAAGAAATACATGTAATTTTTCGGATAAGTAAATTAAATGTACGACGTGTTCAATGCAAGTCCTCAATGGGGAGGTCCCGATCGCTGCTGAAAGTAGTCCTTTACCAGGGAAAAATAACTCCCCAGTATCCTGTGGTTTTCAGTGGTTTTTTTAGCTGAACTCGGTTCGTGATAACAACTACAACTTGACCATTTTCCTAAAACCCTTTATTCTAATAATAATAAAATATAGGCAGTACATAAGCTTTTTTAAGTGTATAAACAAAATCAATCAAAACAGAGGCATGGTAAAAACAAAATTTTAACAAACCACATTTGTACACACTTATTTACTTCTAAAAAATTATATTTTCAACTCAAAGCTAACCAACAAAGTATATATCTTCAGTGTGAAGTAAATACGTCCAAACTTGTAAGATTATCTTGTGTTTTCCGTGATGTTTTCATGAATCCGTTTTAGAAATCTTTTTTCACTTGATATTTCGCAGGTTTTGTAATAACCTTAATATGACAGGGATTAGTGATTTTTAGGTCTTTCAAGTCATCTCAAACATAATTGTGACCAATTATTAAACAATATTGTATATGACGTTGAGTTATTTACTTATAGGTATATGTCAGTCGACCGCTGTAAATTATTAACATTTTAATTGAGATCATGAACCGTCCAATATTAGACCACCATTGAAAACCCGTGAGTACTAGACGGCCATTTTGTCCCGGTATGAGACTCCTCAGCAATGTGCATCCACGACTTCTCGCGCACAAACGCTTAACCTCTCGACAACTGAGCCAGCATACAATAGTCTTGATGTCTAACTTCAACCATTACACGGTATTGCGCGATCATCGATTGTTTTCGGTGAGTAACTGCCTCACACCTGACACGGTTGAACTTCACTGGTCGTGGCTTTATGATCTCAGTTAAAAATCATCAATCTCCACAATCCTATATTGATTAATATTTGTTCAATTATTGATATGGCTATTGTTATGCTTAGATAATAATTAGTTTTCATAATTTGTGCTTATTTCATAACATAACTTAATTCTTAAATAACAAATAAACTTTACCAGTCTTGTATGATCAATGGTGCCAAATCAGTTACTTCTGGACACATGTGACTTCAAATTAATTTTATAGATAGTGTTTGTACAGTTTACAATAACCATACCAATGTAATAAAAAACGTTGGTAGTTAGTTATTGCTTAACAATGACTAACCTTTCTGATTGATTGTACTTTAGCAATTTTAAAATTCCTAACCTTCAGTTTTTTTTAGACTGCCATAATCATTTTTCACTTTTTAAAAAAAAATTTTTGAACACTCGATTCATAACATACTTTAAGAAATGAATTAATACTTAATGGATAAGTCTATTAAATTTGGTGTTGACAATCTTGAATGTTTCACATACTCTACAACATTACATTCATTATTAGATTTTTATAAACTTAACTTACTTGTAGCTGATGCAAGTTGTTGTTATATTCTTTATTTACTCAAAATAAAGTCTTGTTTTTATCATAAATTAGAGGCTGAAAAGCTAGCTGAGGTTTCTGCAATAGAATGGCGAGCTAAATTAGTTGCTCAAGAGCATGAACGGAAAATCAGTGAAGTTGCAGATGCCACACAACTTGCCCGATCTAAAGCGCTTACAGATGCAGAATATTATCGTGCCATGAAAGAGGCTGAAGCAAGCCATTTAAAGTTAACCCCAGCGTATTTGGAATTAGCGAAATACCAAGCTTTAGCACAAAACTCCAAAGTTTACTTTACCGGTGATCAAGGAAACCTTATTATGGATCTTTTGAACCAAATGTCTTCAAGTTTGTCTAAATCAAATGTGTCAACCAAAGACCAGGTCACATCTTCATTTGTGTAGCATTTCATTTTTCAGTACCTTAAGTTTTTATATTTCATTCGAAGTTGTCTATTTATGTACATTTTTGTAATATTGTACAATAAACCAGAAACTTTTTATTTATCAGTTCTTTGTTTTTTATACACACCAACTACAGATGTGATGCTTCATTTTCTACGCCACTGATCTGTCATAACATATGCCTTTGCAAATGATGTGTTCATTTTTTTTTGTGGTATTGAAACCAATTATGTTTGCGATATTAGTAAGCGAAACTTTTTTATTTATTAGCTTAAGTAGATTCTACAGGCATGCAGATCTGCTAGATAGAAGCAGCATTTCGTGTTACAAAAAACGCTCTGTAAAATATTTGTGGCACTATGGCTTGTCAGTACAAAAGGATGTTTAGTGTTGATTTAGTAATGTGTACGTTGATTCTTTATCCTTTTACCCGTCACTAATATGTCGTCAGATGTTTATGAAGATACTCCGCTATACGTTAAATGCTGCATATAATCAGTTCGGCCACCACCTACTTAATAAGATTGCCTAAGAAAGGATAAACAAACTCAGGTATATTTCAAAGTGGAGCGTCCTTTTAAGGTGATATTCACTGCGATCACCTTGTTGATTAAGACTAGTTTCGGAACATGCGACTTAAGGTTTACCTTGGATATCTGTATATTATGTTGGGATATGTAAGTGCATGGTTTAGCACACAACCACGACATTTGTACTTTAGGTAGCTTAGCCACAGGTCGAGGGATATCCATGTCTCTTCTAATGAAATAACTTTTGGCAAAGTGTTTCTTAATTTCTGCTCAATGGTTTTTTTCTCGAGATGTGTCTGTATGGTTGCCAAAGGTGTTAAAGTAGGTTTGGAGAGTTATATGTAGTGGAGTTTTCCAGCTGAATAATCACTAGACCCAGAGAAAAAACAGTGTTAATCCTCTTAGAGACCCTTGATCCTGTGTACACAGTCCTGTCGTTTTACATGTTTACATCAGTTTGTCACAAGAATAATCTCTTAATAATTACTCACCTAAAGCTGGATTCTTTCTCGGGCTGACTCGTTACTTTAGTCCATTTTGAATATCAGTGCTTTATTGTAAGCACTGTTAAAGATCTTTTTGAGTTTCCTCAGTATTATTGACAGATTACATTGACACAAATGATGTGAGGTAACCATTTGGAATTTATTTAAAAGTAAAACTATACGCAAGCCCCAATAATGTTAACATGATGTTCGCCATATTTATATATGTTCTGTAGTGTATAAGAGGATATTTAGTTGACTTCAGCGAAAAAAACGAATGAAAAGTGGGGTATGTAAGTAACTTGCGAAACAATTAGAATAAGAGGTAATATATGCATTACGACAAGAAGTGAAAGGATAAGATTCGGTGGCAGGATAGGGGTTTATGCAGAAAGCGCTTTGAAGGTATAGATTATTGCAATGAGTAGTCGCCAGGTGTCAGTTTGTGTCTGGTGTAGATAAAATGAACCCGTAAAAGTGTGTAAACTACCGTTCAGTTTGATGTCGAGTGGGTAGTGTCGAAGCAGTGTTGGCACTAGGTAAAGTCCAAGTAAGTGCCGGCTACTTCTTGGGCTGACGATAAACGGGCAATGACAACACCGTATGAATTAGGTTCAAAAAACCCAAGCCGATGCAACCGGGAGATCGGATCCCAACGTCGCACGCTATTCAAATAGGACAGGTGTATTATTCCTCCTAGAGTTGAATTTACTGTTTTGATCGTAAACTACGCATCAAAACTACTGTTCACACTTTAATTGACTTTAATTTAGTTAAATTGATGTTGTACTTGTGTGTATTCATTGCATCAAAGCATACTTAGTCGAATTTAACTTGACTTATGAAGTTAAGGTTTGAGATTTTACTTTTAAATACCCATTATTTTGTTACCACTTTCAGTTAATTTTTAAGATGGTCGGCTCTGCTTACAAATATGGACAGCCATATTCCTTATTACCTGTGGAAGAAGGAATGCAATGTAGTGAGTGTAAGAAGTGGTTCCATAAGATGTGTACCCACTTAGATCCAACTTTTTATAAAACGTGCCCAAAACCTAACTCATTGGCTCTGTATGTTTTGTTGTCCGAGCAAAACATTACTCATCCAAGAAAAATTTAGCTTTCTAGCGTTGGCTAACAAAAATGTTGACGAGGACTTTAACGGTAACATGGGCAGTGATTGGGAAGAGTGCGTCAGTGTCGTAAGTGCTGTTACGGCACGTGCCAGCCACACGGCTGTGCAACACGCAATAGGGCTTTCCCAAAACTACCGAGCGATACACCATTAGGTACTGGTGACCAAGTTGCAAAAGCAGCGAATGATGACCCAGACAACTATCATCATCCAACTAGTTGTCGTGTGGATGCTGCGACTGATTGGATATGGGTGATGCAGAAACATAGAAGAGAAAGTAGGGTAACCAGGAATAGCTCCCATTTAATTTTAAGTTCCTAGTTGAACTTTTCGTGCCTGTTGGTAACCCTCGTTTTATTGATAGAAGAAACCCAATTAGTGGTGAATAAGTCTATTTATATCGTTTCGACGTCACAGTGGAGCATGGGATTACATGAACAAACACACAAAGCTTCTCAACATTCAATATAATGCCTATACAAAACAAAGAAGTGAATGGATAATTGAATTCTACTGTTTTGGCATATACTCAGTTGTTTGAGGTAAACTTTAAACTAATCAATCTAAGCTGCTATATAAGCTTCCCCTAGAATGGACTTCCGTAGGATCGTCGGTTTGATTAATCTATCATCAGAGTAAACAAACCTGTTTCCGCAGCCCAAGGGAGTGTTACCAGGTTGCTCAGCATTTGACTTTCAATGGATGGCTACTATATCAGTCAGCGATCAATGATAATCCCTGGATGTCTCTTCATTTACTAGCTTGTTATCTTATTTTGTAGCATTTAATTTCTTCCACAACAATCGCTGATGGTTTGCTGTGTAATTTATATGGTGATCAGAGCTTTCAAGAGTAACGAGGGTGAGAAAATGTAATAGGAGTGTCTGAGGAAGTCCTGCGCTTCGTCCTACTTGGGACTAGTCAGGTGGACGTACCTGCATCCCAGAGTTGATGTTCGTATTAGGACTCGAACACAGTACCGTTCGCTTCAAAAGCCATCGCATTATCCACTTAGCTACTTAGTCTTGATGGCCACCTGCTTGTGCAATGGGGTGAAGTTTAAATTCACTTAATGTTATTTTACTTGTATCTTTCCATCGTTATTTAGCACTGCGATTGATCAGCCTCATGACGGTATATGTGTATCCTGTGTGGATTGTATCGGTTTAGCGTTAGGTCACAAGCTTTTGAAGCAAACATGGATAGTGGCTAGCAGTGGGATCCAGGACGCGAATTTTGTCTACATTATGCGTTGCAAACTACTCCTCCAAAGTCTCAAAGTAATACCCCAAATGGGAAGCGTTCGTCCTCATCAAACAGTTCTGAGTCATTCGCTCAACTCTCACGACTCTATTGCAAGAAAAATTAACATTATGGTTCCAAGAGCTAATGGGCAGAATCTGACATCAAGGTCGAAAGCCATAAACACGAATTTTATAGAAGTTAAACGGGTTCTCAGTCCAATTATTTGGAATTTGGAGGGGTCGAAAGCTAATGACCTTGTTAAGAAACATGCACACGACATGAAGTTAGTGGAATCTGTCATCAGGCATATACTGCTTGAAGAGATTTCAGGAGTACATATCACCAAAGTAAGACTCGGTAATTCGATTTGAGGCGAGAATAAATCAAGGAGGTTCTTGAAGTTTGTACTCGAGAATTTCGATGAAAGAGACATACTACTGATTAACACATACTAAACTCGCGATTCGAATATCCGTACCCGACCAGATTGACTGCTTGAGGGTCGAATCAAGTAAAGTTAAAATCTGAGTGGCGAAACGAACCTTACGACCAAGGGTTCTCGGGTAGACAATGTTACCGAGACTTGTTTGTGTAAAGCGAATGATTCTCAAAAACCTTTGATTGTGTCCTGCCCGAACGCCCCCAGTGTTCGAAATAAAACGTCCGGGCTAAGCATGATGGTGGATGAATCAAGTCTGGATGTAATTGTTGTCACAGAAACTTGGCTCACCTTTGATGTAAACCGTTCCCCCATTATTGTAAGCTACATCTGTATTGAAAGTGATAGTTATAAGTCGTATGTTAGGGATCACTTCCGCACACTATCATATCGGATACGCATGTTAGTCTTAAATTTGAGGTAGCATGTTGTACAATTAAGTCTAGCAACAAGTTAGCATCTGTAGGAGGAATATGCCATAGTCCGTTTCGTCTTGCTGACGGCTTTAACTTAAGACATATCTGTTCGTGGAGTAATGCAGAATGTTGTTTCATCATTAGAGACTTCAGTCCACCGCATATCAACTGTCTAGAGTTTAGAGCTCCAGGTGAGGGTTTCGATAGCGACTTTCTATGAACCATCATTCAGTGTGCACTTGTACAAAGTACCGCGAAACCGACACATATTGACTTGGAACATGACCCGTCATTGCTGGACATTGTCGTCACACACCACTGTGAGAATGTCGTCGATAGTCATTACCTTCTCTCACCGGTGAGTAATGATCACGTTGTACTTTTGTTTAAGTTTTGGGCACATGGCATACAATATTTATCTGCTCAAACCCATCCAAATATTTGTCGAATTAATCTTGCGTCAGTCAGAGACTGATATCTGGACTGACTAGCCAGTCAATGAGTCGATCGAAGACGAATGGAATAGGTCTGAGGCTACATTCGAGTCCCTAACATCACTGTCTATAACATGGTCAACACATAAGCTATCACATTGCCCTCCATAAATTATTAAGTAAATTCGAAAGCTTTTGAAGAGCAGGAATCACTTCTGAGACTTACTCTTGTCAACAAGATGCGAACTATTTAAGTGTAAAGACTAAAAAGTCCGGAATATATGTAAAAAGACAATAACTAGATGCCGTACTATTTACGAAAGACAGTTAACATGCGATTACCGTCTTTATCCAAAACGGAAACAGATACCAGACATAAGGCCTGTACATGTGACTGAGAAAACTGTCCTTTCATTGGTCAT